GTTCAAGTCTCCAAACAGTGAGCGGACAAAGGGACGGCGCCTCATGCAATGTGGCACAAATATGACAAACATCAGTTCAAAACCTTTGGCCTCTTCGTTAGCGGGGAGCTGAGGGGGAGACAGGCGAGGGGAGGGAAGGTGAGGGAACATGATTACAGGGCCTATTGGAAATGAGGGATGAAAGATAAATATCACCAGAGCCTTCATATGGATTAACCTCTTTGATGTGTACACCAAATATCATCTCCAAGTTTTATTGGCCACTATGAAATTGATCCCAACAGTATTAGGATAGTAGCTAGTGTGAATAAGAATGACACTCGTTGGCAGCCCGCAGGTTAGGAATTACAGCTATAGAGTGTTGGAAAAAAATCATACATAAAATGTCTGATATGCAGATTATTTTTTTATATTTTTTGATCAATTTAAAGAGGCTCTTTAACTAACTCTTTCTCCCAAGTTAAACAAATAATAATACTTTTAATGATTGCCACTGCTTATGTGGGAAAACATACACACACGCCTTTTAATCATTTGTAAGCTGCTTAAAGACCGCCATGTAAGGTAATTAATTAATTCTTGTCTTAATTGCGTTAAAGTTTGTCAGTGTGCCTGCCAAGTCACCTTAAAATGAGATTATCAGCAGGGGCCGGCCAGAGCACGCGGGCCTTTTAAGCTGCAGTGTGCTCTCTGGTTGTATCAGCTGCATCTGCTGGTTACTGAGAGACGGAGGAGCCAGCTCACTCTGAGATGTTATCTTACAACAGCCGCCAGAGGTGGCTGTATATTATGGTTTGTTTATTTTAAAACTTAGTAACTCCTCACTGTACAGGAGTAAATTTATCCTCTAGTGTCGATGTTTACACTCTGACTGTAAGATTAGACTTTGCAAAGTCACAGACAACACATGCACAGTAATCATCTTGACTAAATCACTTAATATTCTTCACGTGGCTCGGGTGCTCATTTTAGCCTCTGCGTTTTTGTTCTCCGTATGTTAATGTTTTGTTAAAGCACTTTGTGACTCCTGTCAAATTATTTCCATTACTTACATTCAGTTTCAGGTTTATATTCTGATTCTGCAAAGATAGATTTCTGGCTGTCATAACCAATTTGACTGTCATAACCACTGAGTATCTGTGCAATTTCTGCTGCATTTTCTTTGAGATATGCTGCACAAGTATAGACTATTATAACTGCTGTAATGGGTTTAGTGAAATCACATATTTATGATTCAAATAACCCAGATTTGAGTCACCACCCTGCCACTCAAGCTGCTGCCTACTACTGCTACTACTACTACTACTAAGATGACTCACTTTATTATTGTAATAGTTCCCTATAAATGGTTTAAAGATTTGAAGAGTTATAAATCAAGCTGTGATGCTTTAAACTGTCAAAACCAAAAACTGAATCCAAAAGCTTACTTTTTACCAGTACAGCCAGAAATCCGAGCTGTAAGACAAATCAGGACAATGCAGCACCGCTTCTTCCTGAGTGTTTGTTTATTATCGTCAAATCGTGGTAGCAGAAAGCCTGAAGGTCTCTGAGAGGCTATACAGCAAAAAGCAAGCTGACATAGAAAGTGAGAAATGATGCAATCCTGGCTGAAAAGTAGTTCTGTCTGAAACATACATTGGAGTATCAGGAATTGCCTCAGAGACCAGCAACAGCTTTAACCTGAAATTTGAGTTCATATCGCTGTTTGAGCATCAAGTGCAAAGAGAGAAACATTTTGAATGCGTCATCAGTATGTACCGCAGTGTAGTGTCATATTAATGCTGACAGGGCCGTTTTCCCCTACATGCATTAGAAGCAACTGCAGTGGTGTTTTGTTGTTGTTGTTTGCTTTTAGGGGCATTACCTTATAAGAGAAAAAGTTCAACTCTATGTTGTGCTTTATTTCTTTAATAAAAGTGTTATCAATAATAAAATATGCCTAGTCATTAATTCTGATTCAGGGATATTAAAATGACTGTGGACCTTCAGGTCGTAGCCAGAGGGGTTGTGGTGGTGGTGGGGGGGGGGAGCATTTTAAGATGTTGCTTAGGTCTCCAAAATGTTCAGAAACAACCTTGACTGCTGACAATAAAGACAATCTTTCCCCAAATTACAACCTACACATCCAGCAATTACACACTAACTATTGCATGCATATATTTAAAAATAGAGAGTTGATCAGCGAGCCCACTGTAGACACTGTGTTTCTATTTTTTCAGCAGCAGGTCTGCAACACAGACTCAAAAAATTAGAAAAGAAAATAAATTTAAAAATACAGCCCTGAAGGCTCAGTAGAAAGCTCAGTGCAGAACCTGGAATACCTCATGATGCCTGTCAGGTACCAATCTGTTTGTCACTTTGTTCTTTGCTCTGACACGATGGTGCAACTCTTTGCTCTGAGGCTTGACGAGCTGGCAGCTTACAGGCTGTAATAGCATTGGGACATATGGGTCAGTGCTGACAGAAACAGTACGTGAGTGCTGTGTGAGAGGTTTTTTTTTAGTAAAGACCATCCTGCCAACCCTGAACTAAAGTTGGCCATTATTGCTATGTATAGCAATAGCAAAACATAGGCTAAACACATATTCAGTGTGTTTTTTAAATGGCAAGTGGGCAATGTCTTTCACATAAAATAAGAGGGCAACAAATCTGAAATATGATCATGCATTAATAATAATTTTTTTAAACATTGCAGATCTGGATGCACGCAGTGAAAAAAGTCTGGATGGGGGAATTATTGAACATCACTGTATGTAGTTCAGTGTGATTTAAAATTACATTTTTCATCAACATATTTGAAATTATTTGTACAATAATACAACCCATATAAATTATTATTATAAAAAAAGATTTAAAGTACAAAAATGCAAATGTAATTGTTGCATATAATAGCTTCCGATGTACTCCTGTATCTGCAGGAGCTATTGTAAACAAGCAGCTGCCATTTTAGAGATATTGTTCCTTTTTTCCACACATGCTTCTTCCTTGTCAAAACCTGTTGCCTACATTACCCACAATGCAACTCAATAGTCGACAAGTGGGGTCTGTGATGCAGGTGTGTTATGCCAGGAGCACCTAATGTAGCCTTGAGCAGCCATCATGAGGCGCGGGTTGCAGAGGTCCACACCCCCAGACACCCCCTTGTTTTCATTTTTAAACTTGTCATCTTCAGCCCCAAACAATGCAGACTCAAGTGACATAACTTGAGGTAATTTATCCTACATCATGCAGCTCCCTCTGGAGCCACTAAGTGCTACACAACTTTTTTTCCACATATGCAGTAGGGCTCCTCAACACCTGCAGCCAGACTTTGATATGTAAAGCCATAAGCCATTATTACATGATTATGTGGCTATTACACACTAAATATTACCAACAACTATCAGTTACTTCCAGTATTCTCAAAATATAAAGCCACCAAACAATAAATTTCGAAAATATCATGTTATGTGGGGCATTCAATTGTCAAGGGCAAACACATCCTCTGTGGACCCCTGTTGTAACATTCAGAAAGACACCCCCACCCCCATTAAATCCATACTGCAAACACTCCCACACAACTGACACAGTAAACATGAACCACATCATATTAATCCTAAACTACTAGAAGTTTGACACTGCAGACCAAACATCCCATTCAAGAAAAGACCAGATACATTTTGGATATTATTTTATATTTGATTTTAGCTGATACAAATATTTTACTTTTTTATCTATGTAGTCTCCAGAAAGTGGTTTGCTTACATGGTTGGTTTTGTCTTTAGCGTTTTGTTTCAGTCACAGTACGTTTGTCAAACTTCTCAAACTCTTTACAAGGCGTGTTTCATGGAAAATGTATTTCTTGTTTCTGAAGATCTCTAAATTTACATGACAAATGTTAAAGTTTGCATGCTGACATGGTCAGGAAAGGCTCGGCAGAAGGGTCTGAGGATTAAAATGATGTCAGGCCTTCACACACACGTCATGCCAAAGTCTAACAGGGTTAAAAGTTGTATAACTGATGTTCGACAAACAGTGACAGCTTTAACCTGGCCACAGGTCTAAATACTAGTAATCCATCAGCTTGAGGTTTACGTGCATTACATCACTCATCACTAAACTACTAAATTAAACCTTTTGTCTACATGTAAACTTAAAATCTTGCTCATCTATTGGGACCACTCATGCAAACTGTACAGAGCACATTTTCAAAGTAGAAACCAGAGTTCTGCCCTAATAGCTATCGAGCAACCTCCTGTGTGTTTAACAAAACTGCAAACTAATTTTAGTTTTTTAATTAAATTATAGATAAACCGTTTTAAAGTCTTTTAAAAGTTGGTACAGAGCTCTGATGACATGTAAAGGCATTTGTATTTGTAGCTTTAAATTGTGTTGTCAAGGAAATGTTTACAAAAATCTCATAATGTCTCAAAACGCAAAAAGTGAGAAGCAGAGAATGTCCTCAACAATTTTCTTCATTCAACCATTCAACATTCGAGGGAAGTGAGAGGAGCAAGATTTAGCATTGTATACAATTAAAACATGTTTGTTTTAGTCCAAAAACCAACACAGAATGTGTTCGCATCCAAAAATCAAAAATGTGTTTTCATCTCAGAGTGGGTAACCAAATAAACACAATATGGATATCTGACTGTTTTGACTGCAAGTATGCTCTGAAGACTCTTCTGTATTGTTTTTATATCCAATCTTTTACACAATTTTTGACACGATACACCTTTAATGTTTTGAAGTGGTTAAATGCAGCTCATCTTCACTCTTTCATCATGTAGCATTTCTTTTTCTATTCATCCATCACTATATGATAAGATGTTCCTTTATTGATCCTAGGGAAAATTGTGTTAGTGTCATAAAGCTCCAGTATGAAGCTGCCATGATCATCCCATGTTGCACCAGCTGCTGTGATGATCAGTAAGTCTGGTGATCATGTGACCTCACTTGCTGCTTTTCATTAGTGAAGGAGTGATAGCAGATAGAGGACACCTGTGTCATGAGAGTGAAGGCCTTTAATCTTCTTGGTGGATTTTCAGGGTTGTTTTGTTTTTTATGTAACACAAATTAATTTTATTCTGACTTTCCACCACAAAACAAACAAAAGAAAAACTCCAAATTAACCTGTTGCAAGGTATGATGTGCTGGACTGTATTTATATTTTTAAGTTATCCTGAAAAAGTGTCACCACAAACCATTTAGAGAAAACATAAATCTCAAATGTGATGTTTAAATGTCTGCCACTGTGTGTGTTGTAATCATCACTTTTGCTTTTTTCAATATTTAATATTTTTAGAATTCTATGTGAAAATATTTTGGATTTTATTGATGCAATATAAAGTTTACAGAGTTCAGACCAAAACTGTTACCACCACTGTCCTTAAGAGTTCATTGTATTTTTGTGCACCCAGCTGTTTTTTTTCTGCTCTGTGGTCGAGCAAACTTTAACTTTCATGCATTTTTTAGTAGATTTCTTTTCAGTTCGAATTTTTTTGAGTATAGTAATATTTGCCATGGTGTGGTTATAAATAATTTTGCATTTCAGAGGCTTTTACATTTTTGTTTTAACATCAATACAAAAGACAACATTTCTGTGGTGGTTTGTGGGAGCTGGTCTAAGTTTGTCTCTCTAACAAGTTATGAGAAAATTACTCGTAAAAAATTTAAAATCCTGCTGAGTAGGGTGCTGAGTGTGCACTTACTCTACTCATTAAACATTTAAAATCCTGATGAACAAACAGTCTTATGGCTGTATTAACTGTATTTGACAACTGCAACAAATCAACTGCACCACAAAAAGTTCAAGCATGGCAATGTTTCCATGTTTTTCACAGCATTTCCACAATCTGTATGTCCTCAGACAGACATGTCTGATGTGGCATGATGTCACATCAGACATGTTGTCATGGTGCCATGTGACTTTTGGCATAATGAATATGAATCATTTTAAGTTATTCAGTTGATCTGATCAAATCTTGTTCTCATAACATAGTTTGGTTTTGGGGATGTTCACTGAGAATTCTTCAGATGTCTTTTCTTACACTTGCTAAACGTAGGAAAAACATACATTTAATTTTAACACTAATACATAATAATATGAAATCAGTTTAATTTTGCACAATGCAGGGAAATATGTCAATAGGACATTAAAAAGAAAATAAAACAAGGTAATAACAATTCAATTTGCCTTGTAATTACATCAGGCAAAAAAAGGTAGATTTCAATGTGTCTCCAAATACCAGACTCTAAACATGTATGTTTCTGCGGCAAGGCAAGATTTACTTCACTGGGTGTCTGAATGACGATGAATGGAGGAATTGGTGGAAGTTGTGTCCCTCCTGTGGTGAATGTACCAAAATGCAGCCCAGTTAATCTCTGGTCCTTCAGTGGGCTCACGGGCCTTCTCACTGGCTGTCTACATCCTTCCTGAGAAATAAAGCCTGATTATTGAGTATTGTATGAGTATAAATGATTATTAACCAGGCTGTTAAGTCAGCAGAGCATCCCACCCACAACAGATTTACGTAACACACTGTTACATGAACATGCTACTAATGAGACGTACAAGAAAGGTGTGAAGTATTTCACAAAAGCAAAGGTAAACTGGACTCATCATATCATTATTGTCCCTCTCACCCTCAGATCCCATCGTGCAGGCACATGCTTACAGCTGTCCCCTGTTGCACAGTGACACGTAGTCCTAGGTCCCAGGACCCCCACCTATCGTAAACACCTGTCTGGTTCCCACGAAGCCGCCAATCACATCCCAGAGAAGCTGCAGCAGAGACAGCCGGCTGCCATGTGGCGACCGTCAGGGGCAGAGCAGAGGTGACACAACTCTTCGTACAGAGTCTACAGAGTCTCCTGGTCATTGCTTGATTTGTGTCTTTTTTCCTGCCGCCCTGTCAGCTGAATCATTTGAAAAATGCTGATCACTCTGTTTTTCTCCCTCCTGGTGTCTTCTGTCATTGCCACAGAGAAAGGTAAACTGATTTAAGTAGGTTTTTTTCTAGCATTCCTCTCTCGGCCTTCAATGTAGAAAATCAAACATAACATAATCTGTGTCTTATATTTTAATCATACCAACTCTGTTAAAATATGTTTATTTATCCATGTGGTTCCATGGTGTTTAGTCGGTCGGCACCGACTTTTCAGCACTTTCACTTGCCATGAAATTTTGTACTGTTTTTCAGATAGACATTAATAATCCCCCGAGGCAGAATCCTGATTATTCTGGTGATCTGCTTTTACCTCTAGTGTCACCATGAAGTTGACATTTGTGGTTTTTAGTAAAACATCTCAACAACCATTGGATGGATTGCCATGAAATATAGACATTCATGGTGCTCAGTGAATAAATCCCACGGACTTGATCCCCTGACTTTTCCTGAAGTGTCACCAGCAGGTCAGAGTTTTCTCTTAGCTGGTGAAATCGCTCAACGCCTACTTGGTGGATTGACACAAGATATTGTCGAGATATTCATGGTTCCCAGACAATAATTCCTACTGTGCAGACTTAACTTTTCCTTGATTATTGGATAGATTGCCATGACATTTGGTTCAGACATTCATGCATCCTTCTGGATGACTTGTAATAATTTAGTTAATCCCTTAGCTTTTCCTCTAGCGCCAGCATCATGTGAGGATGTCTAGCATGGCTGTGGACTGTTGTAGTAGTATCATTGAGACAACAATACAACGGTGCAAACTATGTTGAATTGTGTGTCTAGTGCATCTTGTGTCTTTCTCTCTCAGACAGTGCCCTTCCCAGGCTGACTGACACCAAAGCTTCTGAGGCCTTCATCGATTCTGCCGAAGTGGTGGTCATCGGTTTCCTAGAGGTCAGTGAACAAAATTGTACATAGAGGAAAGAAAAAGTCTCAACCATGCCCTACAGAGGCTGTTTTTTGGTTTAGTTTATTATGCTTACATGCATGTGGCAAACCAGACATGATCAAGCAAATTAGCTGAGAGTGAGACTGTGAGGGCTCCAAAAATACAGCATTTCTTTGCACCCTGGTCTCGGTGATGTTGCTGTTACAAATAGATTTTGAGGAAGAATGTATTTCCTGTGGCCACACCTTTGGCAGCACTGGTGCTGCGAGGACAGAGAGTGGCTGCCTGTCCCACAGAGGCGAGCCCTTTGGCCAGACTCTGTGTGCGGGGGAAGATGGAGGGCCACTTGACAGGAAGACTTGTGGGATTGGCTCCATTGACCCTCTTGTAAACAAGTGCAAACAGAGAGGAGATTCATGAGAAGAGACTGGATGAGAGAGAGACAGAGAGCGCATGAGGATAACGCATAGTTGGACTGTGATGCTTAAGGCAAAAAGTGACTGAAATATTGGTGCTCTGACTCACTGCAAATGGACGCATATTACAGGCTGCAAAATGATAAATCGGATTGCCAGAGCTCATGCAATTCTGTCTCAGAAATAGACGTGATTCACCTTCCTTTGAGTCAGCCTCATTTCTCTCTTCCCAGTACATTTTTTTGTTTCTCCAACTTTCTGAATCTCTCACAGCCCTTTGACTTTTTTATATTTATAAGATCATCTTATATTTAGTATATAAAATATCCATTTTTTAATTAGATTATATTGTAAGGTTGTCAGACAATTGTAGTGGAGTAAAAAGTATAATATTTCCCTCTGAAATGTAAGTAGAATAAAATTCAAATACTCAACTAAAGAACAACTACTTTGAGTAAATTTACTTACTGTATTTACTTCCCACATCTGCCAATGCATACCAGCCCACTTTCCCTCCTCAGAGTGTCTTAAAGTGCCAGATTTAGATTTTTATGTCACACCCCGTTTCCCCCTCTTTTAGAATGAAAGATTTGCCAGCTTTGCCAGCAGGTTGAACAAGAAATTGTATTAAACTTACTACATAGTGAGCAATAACGAAAGAAAAACAAAAATCATTTAAAAAAGTAAAAGAATGTACTCCATAAGACGAGATATAGTTAAAACAATCTCCCTCTTTGACTCTCTTTCTCTTTTGGGTCTCAGGGAGAGAAGAGTCGCGGCTATCAGGAGCTCGTTGCAGCTGCAAAGCGAGTTGACTCGGTCCCTGTAGCCATTTGCACGATGAAAGAGGTGTGGGCTGACTACAACCTCTCCTCAGACACCATCACCCTCTTCCGAAAGGTATTCTACACCATCGTGACGGTGCATGATTTTGTCAGCATGAGGCATCTTGTCAAAAAATTCAATAATAAATATGGTGGGTCCTGTCAGTTTGATGATGATAATGATGAAGATGATGATGTGTTACGTGATCAAGGCAGATAACCACCAGGAGAACCTCGTTCTTGCTGAGACCAAGAAGGTTGAAGCTGACAGTTTTGTAAACTTCATCACCATCAACGAGGTCCGCTACATCACAGAATACAACCAAGTGGTACGTCCAACTCTTTTCTCATTTTTTTCTGGAACCAGCAGCTTGAAAATATATATAAATGATAAATAAAAGATGCATATAAGTATAAAATAGCAAATAAATGCAATATAGAAATAAATGCCTAACACTTCATCCATGTCCAAGATGTAACACAAGAACAAAACTAACATTTAAATTAATAATAAATCTAAATAATCTAGAAACAAATAAATGCATAAATAAATAAATACAGAAATAAATGTCTGTCAAATTGTTTTTTCTTTGTTGTTTATCCCTTAAATCTTTACTTCTTTCAAAAATACAAAATATAAATGGAGTTAAAAGCAAAGAAAAAAATTTAACTATTTACATTTTAACATTACCCACCACCCCTTCACCACCCACTCCATCATCCCTTTCCTACCACCCCTCAACAATGCACATTATTCAGAGTATTCCACAGATCTAAACTTATCCAACATAAATGAAAGGGCTAATACAAGAGCAACAAGTAGTCACACAAATGTGAAAAACTAAATAAAAATAACCCGCCACTGACTGTAAGATGTTTCTGGAAAAGGAGATCAGCAGGGATGTAATGTCTCCTGTCTTAACACTCATTCTTTGTAAATGCTGTTTTCCTTTTCCTCAGACAGCAGTGGGCCTGTTCAACTCAGAGGTGAAGTCCCACCTGCTGCTCTTTGCCAACAGAGGGAGTAAAGAATATTCTGAGCTCAAGGAGCGACTGGGAGCTCTGGCCCCTGAGTTCACAGGCAAGGTGAGAATGCCTGTGTGTTTTTACAGGTCAGGCAAGTTCACATGGATATCAGCCTAAATGGTTGTGTTATGCTTTATTGATATTCTTCAACAAATCAAATGCAATCCAGTGATTTTCCATTTCTGTAGTTACGTGATCTGATCGATAATGAGCTAAAGTCATAAAAACTATGTTCCAGTTCTTGTTTGTGCTGATTAACGGAGCAGTGAAGTCCAACTCCCGGTCACTGGGCTACTTCGGCCTCAAGTCTCAGGACCTTCCGCGAGTAGGAATCTATGACAGTGACTCTGACATGAAGTGGCTCCTACCTGAGGGAGAGATTTCTACTGAACGAGTGCGGGAGTTCTGCCAGTCCTTCATACAAGGGGAACTGAAGGTGAGCAGATGATGATCATCTGCTGATGATTAGACGTGTTCAACTGGGTATCTACAACTGCTGGTTAAGATTTAGATGCTGCTCATTGCAGTCAGACGACCTACTAACATAAAGAACAATTCAAAGCAAAAAAAGCAGCCAGGTTAGAGATTTAGAAATTCAGAATAAGTAATGCAATTAATAAATAACAAAAAAAAAAAAAGAATTCGTGCAATAAAAACACTTGACTCGTTCTCTCGTCATGTAAGAAAAGGTGGCAGGGAGTATAAGACACACCACTAATGCAGAACAAGAACATAAGCACTTCTTGCTGTTACTGTAAAGTATATGTGCCACACAAAAGACAGGAAAGCTCACTCACACACTAATTTCGTCTGTCAGAGGCAGAGTCTGAAGCCCCACAACAAGACAGAGGGACCAGAGTTAGTGCCAGGAAATATGTGGCACTGAAAAGGCAAAGGTGGACAACAGAGTGCATTTAAAATGACTTCTGACACTTATTCTACTTAGATAAATAAGATTGTAATGCACAAAATAATATATCTTTATTAGAACAAACAAAGTTACAAAGTGCATCACATAGCAAGCAAATATAATATAATATGTTAATCTATTTCTTATCTATGTTAATATAATAACATACAAACAATGCAGTTGTCGGCAAACTGGAGTCCCTTCCCATGTCATACAAGAAAGGAATTAACTGATAAAGATTTTGTAATTACTAATCATTTATAATTATTAAAGACAGACAATTGCGTAGTTCTTGAAAGGACCCTCTTCAGATTCATCACCAGTAACGCACACAATTTCAACCCTGAAGCCACAGATTTATACATTTCTCTTAGGCTCAATCACAATTTCTACAGATTTCTACAGGATTTTTTCTTGAGAAGGAATGTCACTGACTGCAACATTACAGTATAATCCCTGGCCCTTTACCTACACATATACCTGGCAAATGTGATTTATAAAGTTGAGTCAAGTCTATTTCATTTATATAGCTTATAATATGTGATCTGCACATTGTATGACACCCTCTCTCCTTGGACCCTTGTGTTTTCCTTGTCTGTTATATTCTTCTGAAACGGAATAAATAATAAAATCATTGACAGAAAAAACTAGAAAATGAAGCAGAGCCAAAATAGATTAAAAGCATAATGTGCCAGTGTTGCTGACATGGATGAAGTTAGTTCCTAAGTGAAGGCATTTCTTTGAGCTTTGGTCTGAAGGAAATTCAGTTCAACAGTGGACTTTTATGTCTGTGAAACACTACATAAATAAACTTCAGGTAAACTTGACATAAGTGACATGTGTTCCCTCTATGCTGCATTGTCTGCTATATTTCACTTACCACACTTTATGTTTTTCAGGAGGTGAAGCAGGCAGGAGCAGAAGCCAAAACAGAGCTTTAGGATTCACAGAAGGAATGTAAATGCATTTATATTAAATAAAATACTGTGTCTGATGTGAATTATTTCTTCTGTGAAAAGGCTGTGTGTTTGATTGTCTTGCCCTGCAATTTCTTTTTTCCAACACAAAGGAAATGTGTGCGTGTGTATATCATGTGTCCTCACATATTTATGTGTGTGTTATGTTTTGTCTGTTTACGCGAGTGTGAGCCCGTCTGCGGTCTGGGACACCGGCCACAAGTCGCAGAGATCTGGCCGAGTTTGTTAGTCTGTCCACTAAAGTTATTGTCAGAACCACAACACACCGACCTCAGAGAGAGTGACAGAGGGCAGACTGGGAAGACATGAACCGAGCCAGTCAAGATGCGGTAGTTAGTGGTCTCTCATATGATTCATCCTGTGTGTAAATAAAGTGAAAAACAGCATATCTACTGGATAAATTAACATGGAAATCCCCAGTGTAGAATGACAGAGGCAGCAATCATACACAGTTGAAAGCAGGGCATCAAATTCAATTATTAAGTTTGAGAGATTTGACTCAAAGTCATATCGGGCTCTAAATATGGATAAAAGAGAGTGTATTTAGCAATAAAGGCTATGAAAGCTCTATAAAAGAACAACAGATGGGCTGTAGACATCAAGAGTGAAAAAGTTTGGGCTTGTCCCCAAAAATACTCTCCCAAGCGAGAAGGGAATTTCAAGGCCCAGACTGGGATCGGTATAATTAGTAGTGTTTTATTGCCAAGTGAATGCATCCGGCCGAATTTGGGAAAGCCTGGCAGGTGGACGTTTCTCAGAGACCAGATGGAAATATACAGTATGTGCCGCCTGCCATCTGAGTTTGTTTACGACTGCTATCGAGACAGTGTGACATGAAGCATTGATGGGGGACCTCTGGGCGGCAGTGAGATGACAGTGTATTTTACTTTTATGCCATCAAAAGGTAAACTGTGAGATATTAGAGTTAGTCCCATAAATTTAAACAATATTGCAAGCTCATATCAGAAATAATCTGGTACTAGTAGCTAATTTAAAATCAGGTTTATTGCACAATTGTGTAGTTTGTTAACTTATTGTTTCTGTGATTTTAATAAATGAGTCTCAGCTTCCTCTCTATTTGATGCTATTTCCAACGTACTCAATTTAAGAAGCAATTTCTGACCAAAGTTTATGATAAATAAGATAATTGTGATCATTTTATCCATGTCTGAGTGAGCAGACAGAGACAAGACACAGTCCAGAAAGAGGTCCCACATCTGTGAGAAGGGATTATAGAAACATTAAAAACTAATATATAGTAAACTAAGAAAAACTTGCATTTGTCTCTTCACACAATAATATGCAGTACAGTGTGTGGACATGATGGCCTACTAGTGTGGATTGTGTGTGCCAAGACATTCTGGTAGTAGTGTAATAGAATGACAGCAGTCATGAGGAACTGTGGATTCTGCAATATAATGTTAAATTAGTTCATATTTACACACCGTAACGCAAAATCATACATCTAGCTTTTTTTTAATCATTCAGTTTAGCTAGAGCATATTTCCCCATAGTCCCTGTCACCTTGTGTTCTCACGTTATGAGTCTCTTGTTATGAGCATCCACACACAAAGTGAGGTAATGGTTTAAAAAGAAAAGTCTAAATACATGCCTGTAACTGCTCATTTAACTCGTTTAAGGTTGTTTGTTGCAATGATATGCTGCCTGTGTATCATGCAAGTGGAGCAAAGCTGGCAGGGACTAAAGAAGGACATTTACATAGGTACATTCTTTGACACTTTATTTAAAACAGCTCCAGTTATACACCATACAGACTCTGTGCTGTGTCATACACATTAGCAAAGTGGATAAATCCGCTGTTAATACAACATATCTTGGTGGTGCGTCAGTGTAGGGGTTATATTTATTTGTTTGTTTTGTTTTGTAAAGCTTGAGCACAGGCTTGTTGGAGTCCTGATCTATCAGGTCTGAGGTCTCCAGATGCGTTATTTTAAGGTCATTTACCAAACATAGTTATTTTACTGTAACATTTCCCAGTGCAGATCCCTGTTGGTGTTCTTAAAGGATGGGCGCAAAGGAGGAGATTGGTGAAAAATATGAAAGAAATACATAAATTATTTTGTTGGGTCATTTGTGTCTTAGCATTTGTTAAACCATTCATCAAATGGTGAAAAGCTCTTATAATGGTGCATGTATAATGGAAAATAACCATCCAAGCCTCTAATACACATGCACACACAAACACACACGCACAAATGAACAAACTGTAAAACAATTTTAGACTAACTAACACAAGAGAAATAAAAAAAACAACAATAAAACAGATAAAAGACAATGAAACATTTCAAAACATCAATATAATACAATAAATCCTTAAATATCATTGAAGTAAGGGACATTTAAAGTTTACATTTAAAGACATTTAAAAAGACATTAAAAACTGTTTCAGGCTTCCTCGGATCCTCTGGCAGCCTGTCTCAAAATCTGCCTCACCAAATGTTTCTGTCCTGCACTTTGGAACAATTAAAATACTAAGCCAGAAGATGGGCCTCATGGGAAGTATTTTAAAAGTAAATATTCAAATATCAGTATGGAAACTGACAGGGAATCAATGTAACATCTATAAAACAGGTGTATTGTGTTCTCTCCTTCTGGTCACAGTCAATACACAGCCTCGTCAGTAAACACAGTATTATATTTTTCCCCGTGAGGATAACATATCATCTAATATAGAAGAAGATGGGATGTTTATTACTGATATGAGTTGACTGGCAAGATCAGGCACAGTATAGTGTCTGTCATACCATGTAAGTGTGCGCCTGGGCGTGTAAGTTTTCCACTTTCTGCTGGGCAGACAGGAAAACCCACAACAACAGTACATTTCAAGATTTCAAAGAAGACATGCAACAACAAAAAGGTACTGATCCAAAGCAGAAATGCCTTATTTCCTGCCCATTCGGGGACAGTGGGGGCGATTGTTTACTCCAACTGTGTCCCCCATGCGCTGAATGCATTGACAAAAATGGACACTGGACCAGACATTGAAATTACATGGCACGCGGTCCAAAACAAATTTCTGATCCCAGGAATAACACAAGATTATGAAACACAAAGGACACCAAGGTCACTCTCAGGCAGCACTGAATGTCTCACTAGGCTATATGATGGATGAAGCTGTCAGGGGGCCCTCAGAGATATATATATATGTGATGTGATGAGTGTGTGCATAATTTTTTTGTTATCTAGATAGTATTTAAGCAGCGAGATGGTTCAGCAGTTTTACCATCATACCATTCTTTATCATAAATCACAGCTGAAGCCACACTCACTCACGCGGTTTTGCACAAACAGAAAACTGCATCCAAACCCACATGCATAACGCTGTGCATCCAACACATGGGGGTTGCCTTTATTTAGCTGTATATATATGCTGAAGCACATCAAGGGAGGCTGTGCATTGGACCACTGGTTGGCGATGGTAAGCCTTGGCCGTGCCTGGATCTGACCGGGAGCTCGACCGAGATGGATCTGTAAATAGTGACTGACTGCGGTTCTGGTGGGACTCTGCAGCACTCTAATTAAGCTCTGTCGCATAATGAGGCTCACTGCTGTTCTGTGTCACTCGATTAGTAGCTTGTGGTCGACTCAGGCTATAGTTTGGGGTTTGTGGGGGTGGGAGATCACATCTGGGGCAAGGAGTATAGTAACACTACAGCAATGACAGAACTGGCAAACTTGATGATAAAGAGATTTGACAAAAATTTAATTTCATTTTAAGGGTGTTTCATAGAGATCAGTAAGTTTCAGAGGTTTTGTTGCATTTCCTTATACTGCAGTAATGAGGAGTGATGATTTTTAAGGAACCTGAAGGGGATGTACAGGATGGGTAAACAGGACAAGTATAAAAATAATTTGGTTTGACCTCAGAAAATGATTGACAGGGAAATGAGGGCATTTTTGTTGGAGAAAATATGAGAAAAACACTGTTCAGTTTACCCAAAAGCCAAACAGAGAGAAACAATTTTCGGAATTCAGTTCAGTAATTAAATTTGACATTTATCTTTAAAATTAAAGGTAAAATATTATATTTGTGTGCATGCATGTGCCTCATGGAGAAGGGGAATTCCCTTACACTGTCCTCATGTTACTCTGTTTGTATTGGCTTGGCTTTAATGTGAAGGCTTACATACTATACGTACATACAGGTTTACATACAGAGCATGCACTGTACGCACAGCTGAATGCCTGGGATGTTTGCGGCCTTGTAAGTTTCTGCGCGGGTGAATGATGTTTTGGACTCTGTGCCAGGCCTGCGTGGGTGTTTATGGGAGCTTTCATGACAAGTGGAAGTGGAAACGTTGACATTTGATTCCCCAGCCAATCGGAGGGATATCTCATGTGTGGGCCTGGTCTGACAAAGGACGTGGACTACAATATATATTGACCTTGAATTGGGGAACAGAACAAGCCATCGGAAGAAAAGCTAAGAAGAGCAAGCCATCAAGAAAGCAACTAGTCTACAGAGAGAACTACAAGGCATCATGAAGGCTCTGACTCTCCTCTCCATCTGTGCTCTTCTGTCCCTGTCCTGGTCCATGGGAGGTAAGGACAAATTCACCTCATGATTGCTGTGTTTCACAATATTGTCATCTATGTTATTTGGAACCATGTTAAAGTCGATAATGTGGGTGTAAAAGTGTTGTTTCCTGTGATCCTCAGCTGTTGAGCCAGAGGTTGTCGTGGACCCCGCTGCCGACACAGCCGATGAAGCTGCACCTGCTGCTGACCCTGTGGCTGCTGACCCCGCAGCTGCCGCCCCCGATTCATCCTCCTCATCGGAATCTTCCTCCTCTTCTGAGTCTGATTCGGCCTCATCCTCTGAATCTGACTCCAACTCTTCCTCAGACTCTTCAGCATCTGATTCTAACTCCAGCTCCTCTTCCTCTGAATCTTCTTCCTCTGAGTCAGACTCCGCCGCCTCTGACTCTTCCTCTTCTTCTTCTTCTTCTTCTTCATCCTCCGAGTCTTCATCGGAGTCAGCCAGTGCTGAGGGTATGCAACATTTTTGGTTCCAGAAAGAATTGCTGTATGCTTTTAGAATTAATGTATGAATGTAAAACAAGAAAAGTATGGCTCTTACAAAGAAAGTCTGAGTTTGTGATGTTTGTCCGCACAGCGGCTCAGGTGGTTATGAAGAGAGACCTGGCTGCGGTTCTCCTGAGGAGAAGAAGAGCTGCCCCATCAGGAGACCTCACCCCTCTGCAGCTGGAAAGGTACACTCATTTAATAATCTAATTGGAATAAACTGACTCAGTGAGCAACAAATATACATATATATATATATAGCAAAAAATTACTTATACTTTGCAAACTATGTTGACAAATTCCTTGCTGCAAAGTTCCTACCTAAGAACAAATAATCATTTTATGTTTTATTCTGGTGTGGCTTACTCAGAACAAAAATAATGAATCTAAGTCTAAAGTGACACTTAGATTAGACTACTGAGATTTTACAAGCCATCTAACCCCTTTCCTCTCCTGTGCCATCCAGCCTGAGAGAGGTGTGCGAGGTGAACGTCGCCTGTGACGAGATGGCTGACACTCAAGGCATCGTTGCCGCATATAACGCCTACTATGGACCTGTCCCTTTCTAGGTTACAGACTCATTCACATGGGAACTGTTTTCTGTGTCATTTTTGTAATAGAACGGCGCAACAACTCCCCTGAATCCAGACAAGGAGCAGACAATCACAAAAACAAAAAGGGTTTGGCCCATGTTATGATGCTAGATGAAGCTTTTTAGGCACAAATCCTTGTGACCAGCTTTAGTGGTCCTGTGTAAAAAGGCTCCTCCAGGCTTTCAGAAAAAGGCACATGGAAAAACAAGCCTGTGAAGTATGTAGTAGCCCACATAAGATTAAATTATTATTCACTATAATACAATGAATGGTGCTACAAGTGCAGATGTATTTGTATGTTAATGTATTGATGTTTTTATATTGTGCTTTAGTCTTACTTTAACTAGAAGCAGTAGTTCTAGTAGTAGTGGATGTAGTAATGATGTACTGTAGTTTTAGTAGTAGTGTATTGATCATGGTAGTGGTTGTGTGCAGTGTGTGTAAGATGCACATCAGTTATCTGTAATGACTGTTACCACAAATTGCCTCTGGGTTTGGAAATAATAAATTATTTTTTTTGTCGAATTGTTGTTTTGTCCTCGATGACTAAATACATTTTTTGATTGTATCCCCTGATGTAAGAGATGGCATTATACCTTTAAGATAACTGATGTTTTGCCTGATGTTTTGCCTGAGTGCAGTGGAAACAAGCTGTAAACAACCTGCTGTCATACTTACAAACCGGCAAACTTGTTAGCAAATCGTTGCTTATACATCAAGCAGACAACATTAGCATTCATTTGTAGTCATATTTCTGGCCACCTGGCCAATGTAAGAGCATTATTTACTGCTTTCATCTCTGTTTTGCTTGACTAATTCCTGAGGTAAATATCTGTCTGAAACAGGGTTGTCACTGCATCTTCCAGCAGCATACAGCTAAATCAGGTGCTGTTTAGTTCCAGTACAGCAAACTTCCATGGAAAAAAGGGGAGTGGAGCACACTAATTGATTTGCAGTCTTTACTTGTGCAAACTGCAATCAATGGTTAATTAAGCCTATTCTTGAAAGAAACTGATTGTTACCCGTGTGACCAAAATGTATGCCAGTAGAGAAGAGGCACAAACTGGGGGTAGCTCTTTAGCTGCTAAATGCTCCACTGGGATCACAACAAGCCATTCACTGACTTTGTCTGTCTGCTATTGGGTGTTGAGCAGGTAGTGTACAGTCAGTTTATCACTCTGATAACACAATGAGAGTAAACCAAAACAGTCAAGTTGTGGGACAGAAATCCCAAATAATGAGCTGAAAGATGCTAGGAAGCTCCTTAAAGTTGAGGTGAACTGTGTACCTCTCTATGAATGACATTCTCATACAAGTGGTTATGTAATCAATTCATCAAAACATTGATCATATCAGGTTTAATGCTGACTAAAAACATTCTGTAGTGGATTAGTATCAGATTGTCTTTCATACAAAAACATGCGCAAACATGTCACATCATCATCATCGTCATCATGATCGTCAGCAATTTCTACCTCTCCTTCATTCAGCTTTTACTTGTCCTCATTGACTGCTTTTCTTATATTTACCACTAGATTACAGTGTTGGTCAGTCAAACACATTTTAGTGCACAAGTGATGATTTAATCCTGGATTTAATTGGCACACATGAAAGCTCTTAACTTGGGAGACTATTTGACATGATATCTACCTCTTCTTGGTGTTTGGTAAATACTTGTTTGAGCTCTCTCTCTGAGCTGAAACATGACCTGGAAATTCAGTGCATTGACTGATATCATCATTGTATAAATTGACATATTGCTGTAGGTAAGTTCAATGTCATGATGGTTTAGTTCACTGGTGGGCAAACTCATGAATTGCACTTTATTTTAAATTCTACTGTAGAGCTCATGGTTTCAGAAATACCTAATAAGTAAAGCAGACTTTTGGAGAAATGTGTGTAAAATCACAAGAAATGTGAATATTGTGATTTATACCGTATTAGACGTTAAGTCGTGGGTTTGTATATTTCACTCATGCAAACACCATACAGAATACTGTCAGACATAATCATGAAATAGCATGATTGAACTATATAATAATATATATTAGTGCTGGGCAACGATTAATCGTTATGAGCAAAATTTAATAATGAATTCTAAAAGTGTATTGCGCACTTTTAATTTAAATGTATTGCTATATACACTCACCTAAAGGATTATTAGGAACACCTGTTCAATTTCTCATTAATGCAATTATCTAATCAACCAATCACATGGCAGTTGCTTCAATGCATTTAGGGGTGTGGTCCTGGTCAAGACAATCTCCTGAACTCCAAACTGAATGTCAGAATAGGAAAGAAAGGTGATTTAAGCAATTTTGAGCGTGGCATGGTTGTTGGTGCCAGACGGGTCGGTCTGAGTATTTCACAATCTGCTCAGTTACTGGGATTTTCACGCACAACCATTTCTAGGGTTTACAAAGAATGGTGTGAAAAGGGAAAAACATCCAGTATGCGGCAGTCCTGTGGGCGAAAATGCCTTGTTGATGCTAGAGGTCAGAGGAGAATGGGCCGACTGATTCAAGCTGATAGAAGAGCAACTTTGACTGAAATAACCACTCATTACAACCGAGATATGCAGCAAAGCATTTGTGAAGCCACAACACGCACAACCTTGAGGCGGATGGGCTACAACAGCAGAAGACCCCACCGGGTACCACTCATCTCCACTACAATTAGGAAAAAGAGGCTACAATTTGCAAGAGCTCACCAAAATTGGACAGTTGAAGACTGGAAAAATGTTGCCTGGTCTGATGAGTCTCGATTTCTGTTGAGACATTCAGATGGTAGAGTCAGAATTTGGCGTAAACAGAATGAGAACATGGATCCATCATGCCTTGTTACCACTGTGCAGGCTGGTGGTGGTGGTGTAATGGTGTGGGGGATGTTTTCTTGGCACACTTTAGGCCCCTTAGTGCCAATTGGGCATCGTTTAAATGCCACGGCCTACCTAAGCATTGTTTCTGACCATGTCTATCCCTTTATGGCCACCATGTACCCATCCTCTGCTACTTCCAGCAGGATAATGCACCATGTCACAAAGCTCGAATCATTTAAAATTGGTTTCTTGAACATGACTATGAGTTCACTGTACTAAAATGGCCCCCCCAGTCACCAGATCTCAACCCAACAGAGCATCTTTGGGATATGGTGGAACGAGAGCTTCGTGCCCTAGATGTGCATCCCACAAATCTCCATCAACTGCAAGATGCTATCCTATCAATATGGGCCAACATTTCTAAAGAATGCTTTCAGCACCTTGTTGAATCAATGCCACGTAGAATTAAGGCAGTTCTCAAGGAGAAAGGGGGTCAAACACAGTATTAGTATCGTGTTCCTAATAATCCTTTAGGTGAGTGTACAACCACATGGAAGAAGTTGGAGGGAATGGTGTCATTATGAATAACAACCATAGGTACCTGGACTTATTTACTGGACTTCTCACACCAGTTTAAGAACAGAGAAAACCCCTTCAACAGTCGTTCTTCTGTACAGTAAAGCTCAAATATTCAAAACTTTAATTGTTTTCAAGCCTCATTCTTTATATTCATTTCATTTCTTAACCTAGGTGTAGGAGATTTTAAATATTATGCCTGAAAGACAATAAAGTAAGAAAACAGAGTATGAGAATAGATAAGATTAACAGTGTGTAGGCCTGATCAAAAAATGTGCCCTTTGTGATGTTACAGCTATGACACACCCTGTCACGTGGATTGGTGTACTGTGCTGCTGTTTTATCATTAACAGAGAGAGAAGACCATCTGCTATTGATTTTCTCTGTACACAGTGTTCAGGAGTTCTGCCTTAGCTCACTTAAATCTGTTTACAAGGTGGAGATTTCCGCATCACTGAATTCAAATATGTTGCACCACACAAATTAGCGCTTACGTAGAGATTAAGTGCTACTAAAGATTTACAGCTAGCTAGTAAGTGGCAGGTGTAACTGGTGTGTAGCTTATGTTAGCTTGCTAATAGATAACTCAGTCAGATTCAAGAGTAAAAGCGGTTGTATGGAACATGGTCAATACACCTGACCTGGCACTTGGTTAAAGTTGTTTAATAATGATGTAAACTGGGAATATTTGAAAACATCAATTTATTTTAGGATAAAATTAGCTAGGTTAGCATAATCGCATACTTCCCACTCATTTGAAACTACAATGTCAGAAACATACATATTTCTATAGTTAAAACAACGGGATAACTACATTTATAAAGGGCTGGTAGTTAAGTTTAGCATACTGTTTGCACCCCTAAAAACTGTAATTTTTGAAAGTACAACTCAGTTAACTTCCTGTCTACTAGCTGATTGATTCTGACTGGATGGTGATGTCAAAGCTTAATCTGAAAAGTAACTAGTAGCTACAGCTGTTAAACAAGTACAGTGAAAGTGGGGTAAAAAATACAATATTTCCATACGAAAGTAGACCTGTAAACCTAAATAAAGTAGGTTACAAGTATCTTATTATAATGCTATTTTTAGAGAGTGTCAGTGGACCATGTGGAAAGTGTCTTGTGATTGTTCGTGTGCTTTGGCACAGTTGTGCATATTGACATACTGATAATCCATCTTATGTTCTTTGCACATGGTTTACTAACATCGAATATACAGGAAACAGTTTACTGGTCAGAACCGGTAAACTGTTTTCTGTATATTAGCTGTGTTGCCCCAGACACATAAAATAAAATAAAAATAAAAAAAACTCACAAATCGAACAGAAAGGTCATAAACTAGCAAACTATCTGACTCTCTGAAAGAAGGCCATTACAAAAATAGTGAATCATTAATAATACTGACAATAATATACCACCATGCTGTTCTCATACACCTAATCATACCTATGATAAAGGTTCAGTTATCAACTTTTTCAAATGAGGACACATTTAAAGCGATGAGTGCTGTGGTTTCTGCCCTGTGAGTAGGACATTTCTTTTATAAATTAAAAAAATAATGTTTCAATTAGGTATCAGTATTAATTAATTTTTTTATTTAATTTGTAAATGTCCACACAGGTATTATTGAGACACAGTAGCCTATACAACTCAACATTAAGCATTAAAAGTTAAAAATATTTAGTTAGATGCACATTCATCTAATTTTAAACTACATATTCGTTGAACACAATTATGCTTCTGATTTACAAAATAATTTTTACATCTTAAAACGATGTGTTGATGATGTCAATGTGTTTTTAATACACAGTTTAAAAAAAGATTTTTCTCTGTAAAAACAAAAGATGAAATGTGGAAACATGAGTAAATCTGTTTGTCAAATCAAACCTGCACTCTGCCAAGCAGGTGTTGTGCAGAACTGATCATGACTGACTACAATGACTACATTATCTACTGCAGTGCACAAAGGCCATAGCATCCTCAGGAGTTTTCACAGTTTAACAACAAGGCCTATAAAAGAACCTAACAGCCAAATGACCAAATGCTGCAATAGGTTTGCATTGATCTACTTTGTAATGTACTTTGTTATGAACATCAGTTATGGACTTTTCTCACCATTTGATTACAAATAACCATATTTGGTAAATTGTAAATTTTGATTCATCCTTTTATGTTATCTAAATGGCAGTTTGTTCAAAAATCAAATAGTATATATGTCTGGCAATATTCTATGTTTTTCTTATTGTTCATAAATCCCATGAAAATACCAAATATACACAATGAAGCATTGATACCACTAACAAGCAATCACAGTGTAGCCAAAGCCTGATTATTCCTCATAGACATAGACCTTTTACCAAGTTCTGTACAGCAGTGCTCGAGATAAATGCTAACATTAGCATGTTAACGTGCTCACAATGACAATGCCAATGTACTCATGTTTATCAGGTAAATGTTCATGATCTTACTTTGAAATGTTAGCATGCTAACGTTTGCTAATTAGCAGTGCCGGGCAATATCACCTTAAATAAATATCACGATTTATTGTTGATTCTTTGTCGTTTACACTGATCAACAAACTGAAAATCATGGATTGAGTAGTTCAGAAAACTTTTAAGTATTTGCTAAAATGGGAGAATCAAACTAAGCTGCTAGCATAGCTAAAACACTAGCCTATTAAAACACATTAATGAACCACACCGTTGCACTGGGTGACATGTTCCTTCATTACCATGAACAAATGTTTCTTTTTTGTCAATCCCACATGCATCATCCTGCTGCCAGAAATGCTCAGTATTAACCGGCAGCTGAAAATAGTCCCCAACAAATGCACCATTTCCTTCTGTTTAATGTAATGTTTGCTAAAAACTACAGTGCCCAGATGCTTTAAGAAATGACTAAGCCTTTTCAAAAATGCAACTATATTATATTTTTTATATATTTGTGAACTAAAAATTGAAAACTGGACTGAATTGCTTTAAGATTTATGTCTTCAAAAGGCTTGAGGTTGAAAGCCAAAGACAGAGTATGGAAGGTCAAAAAGTATTGAGAGATGAACAAATGCACTGTTGGTTTTGGTATATTGATGGGATTTGTTGACAATAACAATAAATAATAATATTGCCAGTCTTATTATTTAAAGGCCACATCAGTTAACATCATACAGCTGAAAGACCAACACTTTCCTCCATGTGTTACTTTTTTTGTCTGGCTCTTGATACGCTGAGAGTTGGAATTCTCTCAAAAACCATACTCCATCTCAGACTAAAGGATCTGAGTAATAACATGAATATTATGGAAATTAGAGAGTTTGCCTAAATTTGTTTGGTTTTGTGCCATGACCAGTGCATTTCTTTGCATCATTCACACATAGTCACACACATATATATATACATGTGTACTGTTAATATGTATATATAATCTCAAAGCTGGGTCATTTTCAGAATCTTTAGCTCTATCTTTATCTCATTTTCCACCTCCTTCTCTGCACTCATTGCAGGGTTATCATAAACCTCTGTGCGTGGTTTCTTGTTCTTCTCCACGGATGCTTTCTCACTGTGTTCTTCATCATAAGCAGAAACCTGGCAGCATTTGCAGCAGCAACAGCATTTGCCAGTAATCATACCAACCACTTTGTCCCAGGGAGCCAGAGAGTGGGCCCATAGAGGGAGGAAGTCCCAGGATCGCAGTGCTGCAGGCAGGCACCTGGGTTTCCGTTTCTGCAGGATGTTGATCACAATGATGATGATCAACATGAGGACCAGAGGTGCAGCCACGCCTACCAGTACCTGCCAGCCAGCCAGCGACAGGCTGAAGACGAACAAAGGTAAAATGAAGAAGCAGCTGATGATGTAGACAGCAGCAAACCAGCGGTAGGAGGCGGTGATGTTGCCCATGGATTTAGCCAACCGGATAGGTAAGCGAGTCAAGGGAATTGGATACCACAGGATGATGCCAGAGACGTTGAACATGAGGTGCACGAGGGCAATCTAGAGTAACCATCAACCAATCTTAATAATATGCATCAGACATTATTTTATTTAATATAACATTTTTGTAATTCTTCACTTCACAGGTTTGTAATTTTCTAATAATTCCCTATAAAGTCCAGGAAAGAGCTATGGAATATGTATGCTATATTTGGTATTAAATAAATATTTATAGGTAAAACTGAGACAGCATTTCATTGATACACTTCCAACAATTTATTCATCATTTACAGTGTATTTGTAAGAATGAAAAACATGTCCAAAAGTCTCAAATAAAAAAAATTATCTTTTCTTCATTCTTTAAAGGAACTTTCTCTTTTCCCTATATTTCATCCCAAATTAAAAAAAGAACCCCCTTTTCCTGTTTAACTAATAAATTAAAGTTACAATAAATACCATCTGAATTTTACAAATATTATTGACATCCCTATGGGTCATGATAATCCCTACGAGTCACGTTTGCACAATTTAAACAGTATCAGTTTAAAATTTGTCATTTGGATTTTGGTGGTTCCAAAATGTCAAAGCAAACATTATAAATATGGTGAATAATGAAAGCTAATATTTTCAAATATATATTTTGAATGATATTTACACAAATATACACCAGGGGAAAAAAAGGCTTCCTCTAACCTATAGATCTGATTTCCCTGGCAATTAAAAAGACTAATAAAGAAAAAAGAAAAAAGTAAGTCTGTCCATTCTATGTCTTTTGTGTGAATTACTGACCTGTAGAGCATTGGCCAGTGTGTCTCCAGGACTAGCCATAGCTGCAAGGATGGCTGTGGTTGTTGTGCCAATATTTGAACCCAGAGACAATGGGTATGCTCTTTCTATGCTGATGACACCAATACCTATTCAAATAAACAAGACACTGGTTAAATTCCACATTTTCACACCATCTCTCCAAGAACCATCCCTTAAAGTGTCCTTACTGTTTTACGAGGAAATAACTTACATTTATTTGCTCATTAGGGATAAAAGACAATAAGAAAAGGTCAACAAGCAACCTATGAATATTCAACATATTTTTGTGAAATAGACAGTGTTTGTACACAGTTTTACTGCCTAAGATGTCACAAAGAGAGAGAAGAATATGGAAACATTAAGAAAAGCTGAATCAGATTGTCTATCTGTGGGAATTTCAAGTGCAAAATGGTACATAGATTTTTTTAATAAAAAAACACCAAGGTGATGAATGAAATGGATAGATGGACGGATGGATGGATGACCTCACCAACAAGTGGAGTAATAGCAGAAGTGAAAACAGAACTGCTCTGCACAATGAAGGTCATTCCAGCTCCGACTAAAAGGGCAATGTAACCAGTGACCCAACCAAATGGAAAAGGGAAATCTACACACACAAACAGACACACAACATTCAAGTATTAACCACTGCAACTACTTTCACAATTTATCGACCTTGAACATACAGTGTGGGGCTCTGCTCACCAGTGTTAAGGATCTTCTTGATGACTCCAGCCACCTGTCCCTTCAGCATGGAGTTGAGCAGCTTGACGATCAGGATCAGGCAGGAGCAGAGCACCAACAAAGAGAGAGCCAGCAGGATCAGACCCACTGCCAGGTCTGGCAGATTCACATCCACAAAGAGATGCTCACCTGCAGACACAAACAAAACGCACTCATGAAAGGTCTGCAGAAATGAAACAGTATGGAAACGAGCAGATGATGACTTGTATCCTCCTTGTTTCAAAGCTGCACCTTGGGCACAAGCTGAAAAAGATTTACTCATATTATCACTTTAAAAAATAATATGGTTGGTTATGGCTTCTGCTGTTGGAAATGGGGTCAATAAATGTGCAGCCTGTCAAACCCAAAACATTGAACTAAAAGACAATAAAACGCTCCATTAAGGCAAGGACAATGTTACTGTGTTACTGCATGGTTAAGTAGTTGCTTAGTAAATTTAAACACTTTTGTCATACCATGTGACATGAGGTCATGTATACCATGATGACAATATAATACATTTAATTATTGTACAGATTACAGTTTTTGCAGTTTACACTGGCAAAAAAAGAAGGAGTATACAGTCTGTGAATGCTGGTCTTACATTTCTGGACATTGTATGTTTCAGTAATGTTCTTCTGTGTGAAGGTGTAGTTGCCATCAACCCAGCAGAGAGAAGGAGATGTGCAGTTCTCTGGACCAGGAACTGTAACGTTCATTAAGGTCTGAAACACAATGGCAGTTTGACAAAATATATTTTAATCTGAATGTTTTTGAATATTTGGTGCATAGCTGACATGTTTTGGTCTTACTGTGTTTGTGAAGGTTTGGCACCATATTTTGATGAGACTCTTATTCCTGGCTTCTGGATGTCCGGTGGCAATCTCAGTAATAACAGACTCATCCAACTAAGTCAAAGGTAAAGAGAAAGAACATTATGTAATTTACACCCATGACAAAGATAAGACTAACAATTGTAAAGTAACTTATGTTTCAACCCGACTACTGTTACAGTATTCACATATATCTGGGGCCGGTTTCACAAACCTATTTTAGCTTTTTAACATTTTACCATGTTACCAAGTTAGACTGTTTCACAAAAATAAAGACTGACTAGGGCCTGTGTCCACCAAAGAGTTTTTTGCCAGCTGAAAACACTACCTGCTGTTCTGAAAACGCCTAGCTGGGAGCGCTAGGGTGCGTTTTGGAGGCGCAGTGTTTTTTTGAGACGATGTGGTTGCTATGATACATAATTTCCTAGGAGGTGATGTGCTGCAAGTAGGGTAGCCTACTTAATTTTACTGAATATAAAAATGTCACCACAAAGTACGTAGGCCTACTTGCTCTGGCCTTTGCTCTGCATGAAGAGAAGGCTGAAACATGAGAGCATAGACTGTCCGTACGTGGGTTCATGAGATTTTGCGAGTAGGCACATCCTTTCGTTCAAGATCGGATGTGCTCGGTGCAGTGTTTCTCCCGCCCCTCCTGCACTGTGATTGGACGGCTGGGTAAAAAGTGACAGTGACGAGCGCAGCGTTTTTCCCCAAAGGTGAACATTTTTCTATGAGAGGCCGATTAGGGTGAAAACATTAAAAAACAGACACAGGCACACTGAAAACTGTCACACACGCACTGACGATGTGTGCATATACACTGAAATACAGGGGTATCTGAGTGTGTGCGTGTAAAATTATTTTAGTGCACCTGGAAGCTGTTGTAGTGTAAGAGGAAGCCTTAGATTCCTGTCCTAACCTTCAAAATAAAAACATAGCCAACATGATGAAACATGGATTTCAGTGCGAGTGGTATTCCTTGTTCAGAGTGTTTATTTAAGCAATTATATGAACAGTTAATCATTTATTAGGAGTAAATGATTAAACGCAACTTGCCATTACTACAGCTGTATGAACCCAAAGTAAACTGTTGTGATTAAATAGCAATAGACGGATCAAACTGATGCCGAAATAACTACAATATGATGCAGTTTTGTTAAACATATGAATTCATGCTTTGTCAGGTCTGCCAGCAAGACAGCAGGACAACAACTGAGTGAGGATAAATCAACGTTGTAATCCGAAAAACTAAAGTAAAAAGCTAATTTTATAAAAGCAGTTTACTCCGAGCTCCTCCCTCGAGCAAACGGCGTAGTAGCGAGCAAAGTCCAGTCCGACCACGGGTGTTTATTTGTCCGAAGCTGGAGCGCTGCTCCCTGCTCCTCTAGCCCAATAGCAGCTGTCAGCCGGCCTGCAGATTTTCAATCGCCCGCTCTACCTGGCCCTCTCCACACAACGCTCTGAAGCTGTCGGTGACGTACGGACAATCTCAACGTTGATAGGCTATCGCAACATAGCGTCGTGCGAATGTCTCGCTTGAGTTGAAAATATTCAACTTCGCTTCGCGTCGCCGGGACCGCCCCCTTCGCGTCGCTTCGTACGCCCGACAGGAAATCGCGGCTCTACCCATCTTTGCATTGACTTTGTATGTAAACTCACGGCCCCAACGCTCACTTCGCTTTTGGTCTGAAAGCACCATAAGATTCCATGGTAACCACCAGTAACAATCAGTTAGCTACATTACAAACAGCCCCCAAAAAAACGGAAAATGGCTCATGATTTGTGGTTTGTTGATGATATTATGGAGAGCGCTATGAGAAGGGAATACGTTTTTAGTGACGGCAGTAACCTACTGGAAATATACAGCAATAAGGACTTTATCGGTCGGTTTCGTTAACCCAAGGAAGCTATCCTGAGTCTGACAGATGAATTAGCTGAAGTACTGATCCCTGCCTCCTCCTGTTTTAGGATATTTCCTCTTAAATATTTATTTTTTGGCATCTTGTACCATGTTCTTGGATCTTTTCTGTATATCTTTGACGCTGCGCTCAATGGTAGGGTTAACGCTGTTTACTTTCGTCACAATTTTTTTATTCCAAATCAAGCATTTATTTTTGTTACTACATTCTCCACTAACTTTTCCAAGTAAAATGTCCTTATAACTATTATACTGCTTCAACAAACACATATTTTCCATTGGGGTAAACTGCACTGAATGGTTGGATGCGCCTACTCTATCCACTATTGTTTTTGTTTTGAAAAGTGTCTTATTTTACCCAGAAATCATTGCAGTGTAGTCCTACTTAAGATAGGCTAGTCATTGTCTTCAGTGCTTTGTGCTACGGTCTGATTTAGATGTCTATCTGAAGTCTGACTATCTACTATAGCTAAGCCATAGTCAAAGTCTATCTTTCTGAAACCGGCCCCTGTCTCAGCTCAGGGACGAACTAAAAAATGTGACAGTTAAGGCAGCCAAAAAGACAAACACTGATCTTACCAGAAGTAGGCCTAGTCATTTCATACACTTGCTGGTGAGACAACAGACTCATTCCTGAAGCTAAATGACTATCACAGCCAAAAGGTCTGTGCTTTTTGTACTGGACTCAGCATCATGTTCATTTTGTAGGCTATCCTGATCTGTCCTAAAAGCATATATAATACAATTTATAATCATCTGAAAGTGAAAGGTTAGAGGTTTGATTCAGGCATAAGGTGAGACATATCCACTGACTGCATTGCAAACTGAGGCTCATTACAACAACATTACCGCTTATTGTAATGCACTCTTGATAGTATGTGTCAGCTAGGTTTAAAATTATAATGGTGTTAAGATTAAGTCTTTTAGATATTTGTAACAATTAATTAATGATGTTAAAAGGTACAATGTGTAAAACATGATCAGCAGAATGTGAAAAAGAAATCCATGATCCTTTTAACTTCACTGTTGCAGAGGAAGTAATGCCCCTCTAATCCAGGAGGACATAAAAAGTTTAATTTATGAGGTTATTATAAAGATAAGCCATAATATTACATGTGATTAGAAAAAAGCGCAAGTGGCAAGGAATTACACATTGCACCTTTAGAGGTACCCTATGGAGTAATGTTTACTCTGGAAATCTATGATGTAGCCTACATTACTTCATAGTGCTGCTGGTGGTCAAAGACTATAAGCTTTAATAGCTTTAATGTCCCAATGTCCTAACAACAAATCTTCAGATTTGAACAATAAAAATTGCCTAAGTAAACAACAACATCATCAGAAATTACATTATACCTGTATAATTGACTCCGTTAGGACATCAGTGATCACATTTAACAGGTCTGGGGCCTCTCCACTCTGAATTTTAAAGGAGTCGATGATGAGCTTGGTGACTACATACATATAACCAGTGGCAACCTCAAGAGGCAGCAGCACCAACACAGAGAGCCAGTTGAAGAAGTCGTGCACTGTGGCGCCTGCAAAAGCCCTGCATGCATTGTGAAAGAAGGCAGATAAATGCAAAGCAAAACGACCTTTGATCTTTCTAATGGGAGCTATAAATTACAGACAGGAAACGAGTGGAAGGAAACTACCCATCAAATAGAAAATGATTACCTGCGAAAGGTGCTGCGGTCAGCAGCCTGCGTCATGGCGACTAGTGTGTTGGTGACAGAGGTGCCGATGTTGGTGCCCATGATGATAGGAACAGCCACCTGGACTGTTAGCACTGCCAAAGCACACAGATCTCCTTTATCATCAGTCCTCCCTCACTTCCACACATCCAGCATCATCAGTATTTAAACATATGCATTCTGTGTATAGATTTGTGTCTGTGTGTATTCGTGTACTGACGTCCAGAGGAGACCATGCTGACAACTATGGAGGAGGAAGTGGACGAGCTCTGGACCAGCAGGGTAACAAGCACACCAATGACCAGACCAGCTAGAGGGTTGGACAAAACTGTGTTGTCCTGAAATATGTCACCGGCAGTTTTACCTGGACAAGATGAACAAAGCAGCATGGACATTTAAAAAAATATATTGTTTGGATAGTGATTGGATATAATATAAATCATACTGCATGTTTAGTGGTTGAGACAATGCAGCTGCATATTAATACCATGTTATGGGCCTTTTTGAGAGCAGACTTTTTGATGTGTCAGCTGGAAAAACACGTGTGTAAATAATAACATTAATGATGTCTAAATTCCATTTAGCTGCTTCAGTTTCAGGACAGTGCTATTGTGCATGCTGGTGCTCACGGCACTTGCACAAAATAAAGCCATCATTGGAGTTATTAGAAACACTTGTGCTTTTCCACGACAAGGCCTGTGAAAAATGCCGATAACATGTGAGTTTATGGGTGGTCATAACACCCACACATGGCTTCAGAAAAGTGGGGGTGTGTTTACCTCCAACAAGCTGGAAAGCTGAGCTGAGGATGTCAAGAGAGCAGATGAACATGTAAAGGAAACCCAGCAGCAGGATCAACTTCCCCACTGACACCAACACCCTCAACACCTTCCCATTGGTATCCAGAGCTAATAAAGAGATGATAAATTCATTGGATAAAACACGGAAAACATTATTTTTTATTTAAAGATTTATCCAGTTTTTCTTTTATGTGCCCTTTTCACCACAGACATTTTCACTTGTCACAACAGGAAATAAACATTTGTAAAAAATACCAAGAATGGATTACAGCCCTTATTTACTATCATTAATCACACCAGTGGTTTCCTGCTATAACATGCCAAAAAATCGGCTGTGGGAAAGGCTTATTGCACAGTCCACAGAGTTGAGAATTATAGGAAATATGATACAAGAGAGTAGCACCCAGGATGCCCCCAGACTTTTAAAAACATTTCATAAATAAATAGTAATGCATTCACATTGGATGACTCCATTTTGTAGTAAACTGCAGAAACAATATTTACTTTCAGAGTTGTTGCCTTTATTCAGCAGTCATCCAGTATGTTGGCACACACTCAGCTGTCTGTCTGGCCACTGTCTGGATCATTTCCATTATTATTTATGAACTCTATGCTTTCTAAAAAATCAGATAACTGAATGACAGAACACTGATTTCATTTATTGTCTGTTTAATGAGGCAATGTTGTCTTAGAAGTTCAGCCAACAGCAGTGCTTGTAAAAATTATTAACTGCCTTTGAAATTTGAATCAAAATATATGTAGTGTTGCTTTTTTCAGTATTCACGTCCCTTTAATAGAACACAACTAAAAACAAATTGGCTCTAGAAGTCACGTAATTAATTTATTTGAAATCATCTGTGTTAAGGGGTTTCAATGATTATAGAATAAATACACATGTACCTGAAAGGTCCATTAAGACAAAGGACACAGGATCTACAGTAGAGTAGGCTACATGTAATCCATCAGTAGTAGCACACATGTTCCTTTATAAATAAAAGGATAAGACATTATTGTACTTGTCTTAGTAATAATGTTATAATACAAGTCTTCACCTGACCAAGGGACCCCTGTGTCCTTTAGCTCTGGCATGTCCCATGGGTCTGCATCCTCCGGTTCCTCCTCAATCAAAGCCAGAACGGAGTGTGCAGGGCTCACTTTGACCTCTAAGGCAGACAAAAAGCTGAATGCATTTACTGTCCTTTTTGTACACCTATATACATTACATTTAACTGCTGTATAGCCGTCTGTTGTATTTCACACAACTTGAAGAATACCTGTGCTTTTATTTCCATTGGGGTCTTCCCTGCAGTTGTTTTGAGCAGTCATTTGCTGTAAAGGAAAAAAGAGGGAAAAAGATAAAATATTTATTGTGAAAATGTTGGCTTTGTAAATTTCATTTGGCAGGAACTGCATGTAAGTAAAGGTCTTGAGATGAGGCGTCAGTGTTTTCAAATGGTGAGTTTATAAAGAGATTACACATCAAATATGCTAGCCTGTAACATACTGGTGGTTGGCATCATATCAAGTCATTACATTACACAGAACTCCTCAGTCATTTGTGAATAATCCCTTGTTAACTGTTGACCAACTTAAAGTATGTAGAAACAAAATCACCATTACAGTTTGATTATCGAGGCATTACGTTCAGAAATATCACACATAAACACACACACACACGCACACACACATACACACTTTCTCGCACATGCCAGGGTATTGATCTTATCGTCACATGGTCTAACTGCAGTAAAATTCCATTCACACAGTATGACACCGAAAGAAATCTACCAGCTTATAAAGGAGTGTTACACTTTCACTGAGTTACGTTTAATCAGTTTGCTGTTTTAATGTATTCATTGACTACTGATAATATATAAAGTGTACAAATATAACAGTATATCATGTTATTCTCCTTTAATGCATAATTAAGCCCTGTTTCTATAATTAGTAAGGTCTATAACACTGCGTGATTTTTATTAAACATTAATTTAATTTAATTTGCTGAGTTTCAGTGGTCGTTGCCAAGCTAAATTTCCAAAACCATAAAGATACCTTCTTATGCTACTATATAGTAGTAATAGTAGTATAATATGTTACCATCATAATATAATCAATACAAATAGCAATCATATACATATCTTAGTACAGTGAAGCACAAACAATGAGATGTGTATATTTGTAAGTAGTAATAATCATTTTTCAGATAGTAGTAATAAGCTTAATTATACTAATAATAAAATGGTGACTTGTACCCTTGAGGTATATGGGTTTTTAATTTTATCAAACTTAAAAAGTATTAAATTGATATTGAAAAGTTCTGTGCACATTGATAGAAACCATGCTTGTTCTCACCTGCGGCGGGTGTAGTGAGTCCATGCTTCGTGTGTGCTGAGCTCACCTGGGCTTCAGTTTTCAAAAACGCTGCCTCCACACAGGTAGAGTGGAAGGGTGGGGGTGGGGTCCGTGGAGGGTAGCGGAGAGTGTGATGTGCAGCGGTCACATCACCCAGAACACGTCCATCTCATAGATAAGCTGAACACACCTTTCAAACCTTGATTAGTCTTACCTGAAACTGCTGTAATCACTCTGCAAGTTGTGTCACAATCCAACTCACATGGTAGATAAGTCTTGAGCCGGCGTTGTCTACCTTGACCTGCACCTAACACCCGCTGTTATTAATCTGTATACTGTATCTGTATGTTATTAATCTGTTATTAATCTAAATACCTTACTGGTTTTACGCCCAACATTTTCAAGACGTTCTGCTGTTTGTTTGTCCGATTTGCAAATGTGTCCATCCATTTAAAATAGAAAGATGAGCAATAATCACCTGTACCTCTTATCAAACTCTCTAACTGCTCTGTTACATCTGCATTGCACAGCCCTCAGAAGGATCATAGCTCCAGCTGGTGGACCCTGATTAACCATCGGATTGGAGTGACAGATAGAATGGCTCCCCTGGCAATGGTTTATCCCACTAACAGATAGATCACATGGGGGTGGGGGGGTTGCAGGATGTGCACTGTGTCATACCATTTACACTGTGTATGTGGGTATGTTCTATTTTCGGTACACAATGAGGTTTTTGTGGCAAGCTATTGATTCTCTTAATACTGCTACCCCATTGTTCAATACTTCAAAATATCAATGAACTAAGTTTAGGCCTATAAAACCGTTGATGATAGCTGAGAGAACTTAGAGGAGAGAAAGTCAGCCCAGGCCACACCGATACTTTGAATTTCCATGGAGGCTGTGACCTGAAAATGTTAGGTGAGGTCAGGAGAGGACTTCCGTTTGACAGCCTCTTTCTCTTTTACAACTGAATGCAAGTTTTATTCAAAGTGCCTTTCCATGTCCTAACAAAACACATCCATGCTTGATTTCTACCTTCATGAAGGTTATAATGTTTAGTCTTTATTGAAACTGTTTAAGAGAGGTGTTCACTTTCAACTTTATGGACATTTTGATGGCTGTCTTTTGTGGTGTTGTTGAATTGTATCACGTTATCCAGAGAGGTGTTTCTGTTATTTAACCCTTACTAATTTGGTAGATAGATAGATAGATAGATAGATAGATAGATAGATAGATAGATAGATAGATAGATAGATAGATAGATAGATAGATAGATAGATAGATAGATACTTTATTTATCCAAGGGGAAATTCAAGTATCCAGTAGCATACGAAATATACATACATTAAACATACATTAAACCTATATTAAAATTAAAATTAAATAAAAATAACTTATAACACCGTAGCCACAGTAAACAGTGCAAAAACAGTAAACAGTGCAAATGGAGTGCAGATGGAAGTAAACAGTACAGATGGAGGTATTATTCTATGTCTATTGTCCTCCCTGCCATGACTAGGAGCTGTTGTACAGTTTGATGGCCAGGGGGACGAAAGAGTTTTTAAGTCTGTTGGTGGAGCTCGGCTGGGACAGCAGTCTGCCACTGAACACACTCCTCTGCCCAATGAAGGTGTTGTGCAGAGGGTGGTGGGCGTTGTCCAGTATGAACAGCAGTTTGTCCAGGGTCCTTCTTTCTGCCACTGTCACCAGAGAGTCCAGCTCTGAGCCCACCATTGGGCCAGCTCTCCTCACCAGTCTGTCCAGTTGACCGGCGTCTCTCTTCTTGCTGCTTCCTCCCTAGCAAACTACAGCATAAAAGAGGACGCTGGCCACCACAGACTGGTAAAATATCTCCAGCAGTTTTTTTTGCAGATGTTGAAGGACCCCAGCCTTCTCAGGAGGTACATACAGCTCTGCCCTTTCCTGTGGAGAGTGTCCATATTTGCTGTCCAGTACAGCTTGTCATCAGCCCCAGATATTTGTAAGTCCTGACCACCTCCACATCGACCCCCTCAATGGACACAGGCTGAAGATGTGGTTTCTTCCTTCTGAAGTCCACCACCATCTCCTTGGTCTTGGAGATGTTCAGCTGCAGATGGTTGGTCCTGCACCACCTCACGAAGTCCTCTACCAGGCTCCTGTACTCCCCCTCCTGTCCATCCTTGATACAGCCAACTATCACAGTATCGTCTGAGTATTTCTGCATGTGGCAGAGCCCGGTGTTATACTGGAAGTCAGATATAAATGGGTGGACAAAATAATAGAAACATCTGTCAGTAGAATTCAGTAGAATTTAACAGCGCCACAAACAACAGCCTCCAATATGTCCATGCAGGTAAATTAAAACAATAATAATAATTTTCAATAAAAACTGAACATTATAACCTTCATGGAGTTAGCCTTTATTGCAGGACTGTTTGTATTAGACATTCATTTGAGCTAGGGGTATGAAATAAACTGGCAACTGAGTTCATGTTTGTTTGTTTATTAATTGGGGCAGTGCACATAAAGAAAAACTGATATTTTGAAAACACCAACGAAAATGTGCCAGGGTTAGCTGAGCAGGTCATTTGCAGCCATGACCAAACATGTCATACCAGAGGCATACTTGGGTGTCCCAAGTGCCCATCTGGTTAGCTCAAGTGGCCCCACGGTGACCCAAATGACACCTAAGGGCCCCTAGTGATCTTCACAGGTGCCCTTCTGCAGCCCAATGTAGCCAAGTACCCTGATGGACCAAAGTGTCCTGACGCTCTGGTGTGACCGTAGGTTCACAAAAACTAACCATAACCCTACTCTGTCACAAACACCAGCACAGATCAGACATTTCCTGTCATGTCAAGCTGCCAGTAAAACTGAATGGATAACTGGGGCAACAAAGAAAAAGTCTAGCCTATCTAAAATAGAAATCTATTTTTAGTTTTATCGACAAATGTTAGCCTATTGATTGTGATCTAGTCTCTCTTCTCCCCTCTTTCTCTTCCTTTCCAGACCTGCTCTGGATTAACACATGTACTCTATTTTGAAACTGAAAAAATGTATAACTGTATAGCAGCAAAGACTGTTTTTCTTTATGCAACTATATAAATGAGGCAATCAAAATCTTCTGTATCCTTTTGCAAGTGCAACAGCATCACCTAGGCACCATACGGTACTATTACAACATTGTACCATTCTGGTCTTACTGGAAACTTCTTTTAATCAGACTTTTAAAAAGTCCTATGTGATGTTTAGTCTCGCCTGTTGTTGTGAAGTAATTGTCATTTTTCATTTGCTGTGGTTTTCAATATGTTTCTTGTCATTTATATTGGATCCTCCTGTAAGTTTTGTTGTTGTTATGTTTTGTGTGCTTTTGTCACTTTCTTTTAATGCATAACATCGATCTGTCTAAAGAGTATTTAATGATATTAATTATATACATAACAGTACCGAAGAACATAAATAAATGAATTGTGTGAAAGAAATTCAGTTGTGAAACTCTGACAGCCATGATGCATGTGCTACAGTCTCTTCCAAAAGTATTGGAACCGTAAGGAAAATTCCTTTGTTTTTGTTGTTCACTGAAGACATTTGGTTTAAGATCAAAAGATAAGTATGAGACAATAGTTCAGAATTTCAGCTCTCATTTCCTGGTATTCACATCTAAATGTGTTAAACAACTCAGGACATATCACCCTTTGTTTGAACCCACCCATTTTTCAAGAAAGCAAAACTATTGGAACATGTGACTGACAGATGTTTCTTGTTGCCCAGGTGTTGCCTTTTAGGTTGATTGTCCAAACATTAAATAGCTCTGCAGGACTAGTCTAAGTTTTCATCCTTGGTTCAAACCTATAAAGAATGCATTTCCTGTTAAAGAGGAGAAACCAACATGAAGACCAGAGAGCTGTCTATGGGAGAAAAGCAAGCCATTGTCAAGCTGAGAAAAGATGTAAAATCGACCAGAGACATTGGGCAAATATTGGGCATAGCAAGCACAACAATTTGGAATGTCCTGAAAGAGAAAGAAACTACTGGTGTACTGAGCAACAGACGTTGAACAGGTCAGCCAAGGAAAACAACAATAGTTGATGAAATGTTGTGAGAGCTGTGAAGAAAACCCCCAAAACATCAGTAAGTGACATCACCAACGACCTCCACAGTGCAGGGATGAAGGTATCACAATCCACTGCTCGAAGAAGCCTCAGAGAGCAGAAATATAGAGGCCACACCACAAGATGCAAACCACTCATCAGCAGGAAGAATCGGAAGGCCAGATTGAAATTTGCTAAGAAGTACAGAGATGAGCTGCAAAAGTCTGGAACAAAATCTTATGGACTGATGAGACCAAGATTAATCTCTAGCAAAGTGATGGAAAGGCCAAAGTGTGGAGAAAGAAAGGAACTGATTATGATCCGAAGCATACAAGCTCATCTGTGAAGCATGGTGGAGGTAATGTCATGGCTTGGGCGTGCATGGCTGCTTCTGGAACAGGCTCATTAATATTTATTGATGATGTAACTGATGATGGCGGCAGCAGAATGAAGTCAGAAGTGGACAGAAACATTTTGTCTGCTAATTTATGGAGAAATGCATTGAAACTAATCGGAAGGAAGTTTATCATGCAGCAGGATAATGACCCAAAGCACACTGAAAAAAATGCAAGGTTTTAGACTGGCCAAGTCAGTCACCTGACCTTAACCCAATAGAGCATGCATTTCCCCTCCTTAAGGAGACTGAAGGGAGAAACACCCCGAAACAAACGAGCTGAAAGAAGCTGCGGTAAAAGCCTGGAATAGCATCACAAATGAAGAATGCAACAGTTTGGTGATGTCGATGGGTCGCAGGCTTGAGGCAGTTATTGCAAGCAAAGGTTATGCCACCAAATATTAAATGTTATTTACTTTAAGATTGTCTGTGAAGGTTCTCAGTCATCCAGGTCATAGTTATCCAACGAAGATGTGAATACCAGGAAATAAAAGCTGAAATTCTGAACTCTAGTCTCATACTAATCTTTTGATCAGTGAACAACAAAAACAAAGGAATTTGCCTTACCGTTCCGATACTTTTGGAGGGGACTCTATATCTATAGACACAAGTGTGAATAATAAATAAAAGCAAATCGTGTTAAATATATGTGTACTTTATGTAATATGCAAACACCATAGAACACAACATTATAAAACATATAGCCAATACATTAAAACTGGAAAAGAACATCAAGATTTAGCACATGTATTATGGGAATACTGTAAAAGCGATATAGTAACATAATGCAATGTAATAGAGGGTTAGATATGTTACTAAAAGCCAATTATTCCATTATTATACTGGGATGATTTGTCATCATTCTCACAACCACTAGAGGACGTTACAAGTCGCCATACAGAGTCCTTAACTTTCAAAATAAAATATCCAGTTGAAAACTCCAGTGTCTAACTAATGTAACCTTTTTTGGAATTTACACGAGTAAACAGTAATGTATGATTATATGAAAATAACTTGACCCGATTATTCTTTCTGAATGCTCACAATCGAGCAGTAATTGCAAAGACAACGACACTTCTCTCGCTACAAACAACACTTTTATTTTTTTAATTTCCGGTTAAACGTTATGTCAGCTCGCTAGCGCAATGACATTGTACCAAACAGAAGTCGGATCGCCGAGTGGTTTACAGTGTGTTATTTCACAGACTTTGAACGCTCAAACTTAGCATTGACATTGCCGTCAACATGTCCTCCGCCTCCACAGGTTTTCCGGAGGAGCAGCAGCGCAGAGGAGCACAGGTAAACACACCGAGAAACACACATTGTCTAACAGCATGCTAGCGTGTTAGCTGGCTAGGGTTAACTTTGGATGAACTGTCTCCTTGAGAATCGACGCGTATTGCTGTCTGCTAATTAAATCTCATTAGTATCTCTCTTTAAAATGGGAATCTGTGTGTGGCTTGCCAACAGGTCTACGTTAGCAGCAATTAACTAACGGAATTTAAGTTACCGCCGCTGGTGTGTGTGTGATTGTGTGTGTTGATCTGCAGATACCAGTGGGCATGGAGTACATCCCAACAGAGGAAGAGAAGAGGGTGTTCAGAGAGTGCAACCAGGAGAGCTTTTGGTACAGGTGTAAGTTTCTGTCTGTCACATACAAGTCAGATTAATGATGTCATGTAAGATTACAATCAAGGCTAAAAGAGGATTATTTTGTCACCTCTGTATTGACTTACATCAACATGCTTCCTTCACAGCGGTGCCCTTCTCTGTGGTCGGCATGGCTATCACACAGGCCCTAGTTGCCAAAGGTAATACTGTGTATAATGTAGAGGAATCTGCAACGTATCTGTAAAATGAATATTATTGCACCTTGAGCTTTAAATTCACCTTGTTCTTCGTTTCAATTTGTAGGGACGCTCTCTGCATCTGCAAGGTTTGGATCTCTACCTAAAGTGGTCTGTAAGTTCATGAAGCTGGGGAATTGACACATTTAGCTGCCTTATACTAATGAGTAAACTAAATATTAGACAATATAGTTCTAAAACACCGCAAACTACAGCCTCTAAAAAGACCTTAAAGTTGAATCAACACCTCTCTAAAACCAAAACTGAAGATTTGTTGCAGGACTGTTGTATTAGATTACATGAGTTTTAACAAGCTGAGTGTATATAGTACCATTAACTAGACATCCTCTTAAAGGCTTCATTACAGGTAAGTGATTTAACCATGGGTGTCTATACCTGTTTCGCTACAGTATCTTATGCACATTACTAACAATACCTTCCTCAGTGAATTCCCCTGCCCCAAGTTGAAATTAATTAGTACATGAAAAGGCAAATAGTAATGAACTGAATGTTGTCATGTATTCTTTTCTGGGGTATTTAAGTATAAAATATTGATATTTAAAATATGCCACATACTTTTTTCTTTGCCTCTCCAGTTGCTGGCTTCTGTGGCTATCTGGCTGGGAAAATGTCATACATGAAGACGTGCCAGGAGAAGTTCAAGAGGTTGGAAAACTCCCCTCTGGGAGAGGCCCTCAGACAGAGGACGGGATTCCCTCCAAAACTGTGAGCACCACAGTACATAGTGATACTATATGTTTTCATCCACCAAATACCCCTTGACTGTTTTTTCTGTTCTCCTCCCCAGTTCCAAGGCTCCTCAGTCAGAGATGAGTGACCCAGACATCCAGTCATTTGACACCATGTTCCAGCAAGCAGAAGCCCCAATCCAGAGAACCTACACTTCAGAGTCACCCGTGCAAATGGGGAGAGTAGATGACTTGAGCACTCCAGGTACCACAAATAGCTGCTGTATAAACTTTTCAGAAAAAATCCAATAATGATCATTTGTGCAAATGAGTATAAAGACAAAAGTAGCTCTCGGGCCCACAACTCATTGCAAAACATCTGGAAAATGACTTTCGCTAATCAGTACTAAAATCAATGTAACATGTCATTTGCCTAAACTTTGCTAGTTACAAAGCATTCATATGGCAAAGATGGAGATCTAGCAATTTACCAACATATTTATTTTAGTTTGTTCCTTAAGCCGATTGCAATATCTCATATTTTATATACAATAATATTTATATACAATAGTGTGTAAGCGTTTTAGACAGGTGTGAAAAAATGCTGTTAAGTAAGAATGCTTTCAAAAATAGAAATGTTAGATTATAGGGCTGGGCGACATGGCCAAAAATGTTATCACAATTAAAAGATTTCATATCATTCGATGTCATTATTTCTTTGAAGTTTAAAGGCAGATTTTTGCTCCTGAGTGAAAATTGAAGAAACCAGATGGTTAATTATTTGGTTAAACTTTTCTTTATGTTAAGTTATGTGTGTGTAGCATGAAAGGAATTTATTTAAACTTTATTTATCATTATACAACCTGTGTTGTATAATGTGGTGGTCACACCGAATATTAATTTGATTTAAATTTTTCTTCAGTTTGCTCACTTTGCATTTTGTTAATTGATAAATATAATCCATTAACATCTCTATTTTTACAAGTTTACCCCCTTTTTCCACACTTTTTATTTGTGTATAAATTGTGTAACAACCAATTTGGTTTTGATACACTGATGCTTTTTCTAATATTTTATACAGTACCGGTACACAGTTATTAGAATTAATATTGAACTAATGCTGTTATTACTTTGTAAATATGTTGGCCAAAGTCAAACCTATGGCAATGTATTAGTGCATCTCTTCACAAAGTCAGTGGGGATAAAAACAGACAAAGAGAGCTGTGGTGTGGTCAAAGGCCTTCTGCCAGTGCTGAACAGAGACACTGAAATAATGAAGTGAGTAATTTTCCTGTCAACTTTCCTGGATAACCCTCTCGATCCTTTTTGTTCAAAATCAGCCCAGTCAGATGTGGAAGAAGAGGAACCGACGAGGAAGTCCATCCTCTATGAGGACCTGAGGCTCAAGAACAGGGAGAACTATGAGGTCACGCTCACTCAGAGGGCCGAGACGCTGCTCAAAACAACACCCGAGAAGGAGCCAAAAATACCCAAGAAAGAGGGTAAGCTTAAAGGTTCTGTGTGTAATATTTCTGAGGATTTATTGACAGAAATGCAATATAATATCCATAACTATGTTTTCAGTGGTGTATAAAGACCTTACATAACCGCAGGCTCCCTCTTCTGTGGAGGTCGCTGTATTTTGTTGCGAAGTTTCTACCATAGCCGACAGCGGACAAACAGCGCTACAGAGCACGTTTCATCATCACGGCGTTCTTCTTCTGCTTGTATTATTCCGGTAGTGTAGATGCCTGTCACTACATTAAATGCGTCCACAAAAGACGAAAAAATAATAATAATAAAAAGTCTCTGAGTAGTACTCTGATTTATTAGAAGTAAGAAGAGAAGTGACATTTGGACAAATGAACGAGCACGTGTTATTTAGCACGAGAGCCAACAGTCTGGATCTTTATACCATGAAGCCAGACGGAGTCCGGGCAGATACAAACAGCTGACAGCTAAAAATCACGGACATAATAGGTGTGGATTTCCCCAGATGGAAGGCTTTGATGTGGGACAGATATTTTCAAAGCGGAGCTGAAGTTGTCTGTTTTCTGCTGGACAGGTAATTAAGTTAGTCGGACTTTAGCAATGCAAATGAAAGCTATTGTTTGATAGCTTTAGCTAGAAGCTGGCCATAGACCTGGTATGTTTCTCCTGTCGGTGTAAAATACAGTATGTAACATTAGTTGGATTCATTTCATGTAGCCTTGTTATTCTCCTGCGCTGTGATTTGGCTTTTCCGGTTATGTTATCGAGACAATCGGCTCATCAGTAATTGTCAATAAAACAGTAACGTTAGCTTACAGCATGGAAGTATCAACCAGCTAAACTTTTACTGCTCTGGTAGAAAAACATGTAGTTGGATTAATTTCATGTAGTTATTCTCCAGCGCTGTGCTTTGGCTTTTGGTGTAAAATACAGTCCTATTTTGTAGAAACACCTGCTATTAATCTGACTTTTAATTAATCAATTGGTGTTAGAAATAGCTCATATGAAAAGCTAAAACCCTCCCAAATGATGTTTAATGCACTGAAATAAATTAGTTTCACTGAAAAAAGATTTATCATTTAAACAAGATAGAAAGGTAAAATTTTGGCAAGACAAAAGTTTTGTCGCCTATACAGAAATTGAACAAATTTACTGCAAATACAAAAATATGTCAGCAAATTAAGTAGTGGTGCTGTGAGATCCAAATTTAATATCTTGTATGACTTCCATGAGCTTGAAGGACTGCATCCATGCGGTTTGAAAGGATGCATACAATTTATTGATGAAGTCATCAGGAATAGCAAAGAAAGCAGTCTTGCATGCCTCCCAGAGTCCATCAGTATTCTTTGGTTTCGTCTTCCATGCTTCCTCTTTCATCCTACCCCACATATGCTCAATGATGTTCATGTCTGGTGATTGGGCTGGCCAATCCTGGAGCATCTTGATCTTCTTCGCCTTGAGGAACTTTGATGTGGAGATGGAAGTATGCGATGGAGCACCATCCAGCTGCAGAATTTGGCCTCTTTTATGGTTGGGAATATAAGAGGTAGCTAAGATTTCTTGGTATTTTAGACTATTGATGTTGCCTTCCACCCTGCAGATCTCTCGCACACCCCCATACTGGATGTAACCCCAGACCATGATTTTTCCGCCACCAAACTTCACTGTTTTCTGGGTGAATCTCGGATCCATGCGGGCTCCAGTAGGTCTCCTGCAATATTTGCGGCGACTGTGGTGTAATTCAACAGAAGATTCATCTGAAAAATCCACCTTCTTCCACTTTTCCAGCGTCCATCCTTTTAGCAGGCTGTAGGCCTTGGCAAATGCCACACGGTTTTTCAATTGTCTTTTGTTTATTGCTGGCTTCTGGGCACTGATTCGACCATGGAGGCCATTTCGAGATAGAATCCGACAAACTGTTCTGGTTGACACAGGGACTTCAGGTGACCAGGTCTCGTGGAGCTCTGCTGCAGTGGAAAATGGGCTGGCCTTGGATTTTCGAGCCAACAAACGGTCCTCTCGAGCAGTTGTCTTGCGGGGTCTGCCTGACCTGGGCTTGTCAAAAATGTCTCCAGTGTCTTCAGATGTTTTTTCTATCCTCTGTACTTGACGCTGAGACACATTGAAGGTGTCTGCCACATCAGTAGTGGATCTGGTCTTCAGCCTCTCAGGCATGTTTGCAGAGGTCTAGTTGCTGTTGATGTGAAGGTCTAGTGTACTGGGTTTGTTTTTATACACACCTGAGACCTAATTGATCCATTATTAGTCACAGGTGAAGCTCATATGACAAGGTGACAACACTTATGTCTTTGCAAAAATTGACTCAATGGGCTTTACCAAGCTGTGAATATTAGAATACTTTTTGACAGTTTCGTTTTGCACTGAAACATTATTACAAAAGCTGTTGGGATTAAAATGAGCCATTTCTTGTAAAAAAGTCTTGATTAGAAATATATTTCAGCGGCACTTCAGGTCAATTTGTACACAAGCGACAAGACTTTTGTCAGGGACTGTATGTAGTTACTCTCTCTCCAGCGCTCTGTTTTGACTTTGTCGGTTACGTTGGTGAGACAATCAGCTGATCACTAAGTGGCAGTAAAATGTAGCTTCCAGCGTGAAAGCTCTGATCAGCCAGCTAAACTTTTACTGCCCTGGTAGAAAAAATATGTTGTTGGATTGTAATTTAATGTAGTTATTCTACAGTGCTCTGTTATGGCTTTGCAAGGTGGACAGAAATGTACCTGTTACCTTCCTGAGACAAACCGCTGATGAATATTATTGGCAATAAAACAGTAACAACAGGGAAGCTCAGATCAGCAGCTAAACTTCTGTTGAATACTGCCCTGGTGGAAAACATGTATTTATTTTACTGCTAATAGTGACATATAACATGACCCTGTGCCTATCAAGTGACCAATAGTGAATACTTTCCAAATTTGCATTTAAAAAAACGTTTTTTATAGTGCTTTGCCACTGTGCACACACATGTGTAACTTTCACTAACTAAATGGCCATTAAAAACGTTGTTTTACCACAAGCTGAAATTATGACTGTCAGTACTAATTTGTGTTTGTGTTGTATTTTAAAAAAGACATTTTGGTAATATTTTCAGATTGCTCATGTAATTAATTAAGCAAAGCGAGAGGAGCCTTGATAATCACCTGACAATGCCTTTGGAAACTTCATGTATTATGTGGTTTATAATGGACTGTGGTGCAGAAACTAAATGCCACTAAAACTTACACACTGAACCTTTAAGGGCTTCATATTCAAATATTGTTTTTAAATTAATCTGTGAAACACTGACTTCACTCGCTCTGCTTTTCTCTTATGTTACAGCGAAGAACATCTATGGAGACACCTGGGATGAATGAAAATGAAATTAAGATGTAATAGGTGTTCTTGCATCTCTTGAGACCACAGTACAGCAGACAGCTCAGTGGCCCTTTTTCTCCAGTGCGACTTAGCCAGGTGTCATGAAGTTGTTTCTGATCAGTGTCGTTGCAAGTGAGTCAATTAAATCCAGTTGCTTGAGGACTAAAACTGTCTCTCTGTGCCTTGACATATGAATTCTGTGTACTTTTTTTTTATCTTCACTTGCACAAATTTTAAATTACAAAATTTTAAAGCTCTCAAAACTTAACTGGAAAAGAAAAGTAAATGTTTCATCCCATAGTTTTCATTGGGCACATCGCCAGCAAGACATAGTATATAAGCAAAAACAGAGTACATCCTGCTGATGTCATGGTCCAGATTGATTGATTAAATAAAATATATATTCACTACTTACAACTAAAAACCAGTCTGGTGTGTATGGTGTTGTTACACACTATAAACAATATTGTTGCTTTTTTGTTGTTTTACCTTCGCTGTGCAGAACAATGCCTGTGCAGAGTTTGACACTAGAGTGCTTTATTTCACATGTATCTGCTGAAGGGAAAAAGTTTGTGCTCACCTTAAATCTGAGTTTACGACGAACACGTATTGGCATGACTTTTACATCATAACTATAGTCATTGTTATCACTTTTTTATATGCATTTCTAGTATTACCGGGACCACTACTATTATTTTACATCGCTGTGTGGAACTTTCATTGTGCTGCTGTGTTTATTTCTCCTGCTCTCTGTATCTCAACCCAATAGGTAGAGGCAGATAGCCGCCTACCCTGAGACAAGGTTCTGCTCGTGGTTGCTGAAGAGGAAGTATTTTTATGCGTCTTAATTCATGTCTGGAAGGGGGTCTTTGAATATATTCAAATACTTTGTGCAGATAAGTTTTGTCGTTCTTATGATTTTTCTTTGTATATCTTGCAAATTGTATTATAAGTATTGAATATCTTTTGTTGGATCTTGACCACGACATCGGCAGAATGTAATTAGTTTTGTGCCCTTGTATAGGTATACTGTGTCCATTGTTATACCTGATGAAGACCTTGTATGGTTAAAACATTGTTTCTAGTTCAACGGTAAAGTTGTAGGAACTTTAATCCAGTATGCATATACTAAATTTTTTTGCATTGAAATTAACCTAAAATGTGTTATCCTGCACATGCTTTAAATACCGGACAGAATGTGCACACAAGGTTAGGTTTGTGTGTATGTGAGTTTAATACATTTATTTCAAAAAATAATAATGAGGGGCAAAAGGTACAAAAGTCACCGTAACATTAAAACATTCAGAGAAATGCCATTTAATTAAAAAGGCAGGCAGACACTCCACAAATACTGTAAAAGCCTAATATAAAACCATCAATTAACAATGTGTCCGAGCATTTGACATTGTAGATGACACAATCGAGTGACAACAGACACTGCAGGTACAAAAATAGAGTATCGACAGAAAAAGGCTTATCTGTATGGTTAGAAAATTGTAAAGCAATTGAATAAATAACCATGACTATAGCTGAACATGACTATGGTTGTGGTTGCAACTGTGGCCAAAACTCTGCTCTGAACAGTGTCCGTGACTTAGTCCCAAGCCATGTGCTGAACCATGTCCATGACTGAGTCCAAAGCCATGTGCTGAACCATGTCCATGACTGAGTCCAAAGCCATGTGCTGAACCATGTCCATGACTGAGTCCAAAGCCATGTGCTGAGCTATGTCCATGAGGATGAGGACTGATAGGTGGTGTGGGACTGGACAGAGCATTGATCGAATTTGGCCAGCCTTCGTAAAACTTGCCCATGGTATCAGCACTATTGATGCTGGATAATGGAGCATAAGCCTGGACCGGGTAGGACCCGGGTGTTGGATTGATTTGTGGAAGGAGGGTCTTCCTCCGCTCTTCTGTGGAAGCGGGGACAAACATGGCACCACTGATGCTCCTCAAGAACCTGAAAGGCATCATCTTCTCCAGAATGCCAGCTCTGGCCTCAGACAGGTCCATAAGAGAGAGCCATCCTTTCCCATACATCACTCCAACCAGGATTGCGATGACGTTACAGGGGAGCACACTGTGAGGAACGAGGGCAGTGGTGATTATGAGGAACACCCAGGGCAGAGCCATGGTGGGGAAGCTGACTCCACACAGGAAACCTTTTGTCATTCTTGTGTGCATGGTAGTTAGAGCCACACATGCAAGGGCCACAGGAACCAGCCCCTCTGCGTGACTGTGGTTGCCATCAACCTGCATAAGATCCACGAAGCTGTAAAACAAGCCTGTGGTGGTCGACAGCAGGAAGAACAGGAACAGGAAGCGGACAGTACCGACACCTTTCTCCACGCTGCCACTGAGAAACGCCAGGACTATAATGTTCAAGATAAGCTGAGCGAGGGTTTTGTGGTAAAAAGGGTAGGCCAAGAGTCTGTGGAGGTGTCCATTTTGAAAAACAGTGGCACCAACACTGAAGACACCCTGTGTGAAGTTGAAATATGTTTGGATACCAAACAAAACACACGATACGAGCACCACTGTTAGAATCCCACTCGTGAGGACAGGAGCCACGTCTTTGAAAATTTGAAAGATCATTTTAAAGTGCTCAGTCCGTGTCATCTTGCCAAATTAAGTTACTTCCGCGGCTAATAGTTAACTAACGTTAAAGCAAAAGTTCACAGTGGTTCACACTTCCTAAACAAGGAAGTACGGTCCTGACCAGACTGGTTTGAGCCAAAGCTGATGGTGCACCTCTCGGCTTTTATAGAGAAAAGTTTTTTTTATTTTAAAGTTTTAAAATCATAGATAAGAGCCTTTGACGGCAACACTTACAACTTGGTCATTAGCGGATCCCGGAAGTAACTCTAGAAATCATGTTATCTTGAGTGCTACAAGACAACTTCCGGTTTAACCCTTCAAAATAAAAGATAAATTGACGCACGAAAGTTGCATTTAACTGCGTAACAAAGTGGACCATCTAAGCTGTATGTAAGGGTTGACCGCACTTACAATACTAGATATTTGTATTTTACTGTATTTTTTTAGTATTTCCAATTGACTGTACTTTGTACCTCTATTCCCCTATAAGTGAGAGTAAAATATTTACTGATCCTTCAACATTCATGCAGAACATAGCCTAATATAATCTTAATATAATGCATAATGCATCAAAAACTATACTGTAATAACGCGCTCAAAAAAACATGCTACATAATGAATACTTCTATTGATACTTACTTAGGTACACTTTGTTGATAAAACTTTAATGCTTATGTACGTTTACATATATATATAATCTTAAGCAACTTTCAGTTCAAAGCACCTTGATTTTCACAGTAGATGTGGGTTCTAATTTGTCTTTGCAGGAAAAAAGGTTTTGTTGTTAAAGTGTTTACATTTATGAATATAAAATCAGGTGGAGTTTGTTCTCATCCTGCTGTTCTAAAGAAACCAAACGACACATTTTCCAATTTAAGTGAGACAAAAAGAGCGAAACGTAACAGAACAAAGCTTTTGTAATGTGTGTCTCTTTTTTTCTCAATTAAATTTGAAAAACAAAGGAAATGAGACGTAAGCACGTCTGTCCCTCTTCCGGTGTCGTACGGTTACTGCGGCGGATGTTGATGTTTTGTTTCACAGCTCGCCGAATGATGTGAACTGTATCGTCTCCGGGACGGGTTGATATATTTTGTTTGTGATTGTCCTCGCGGTTTTCTACTGTTCTCCCTGTAAGCTTTGTCTGTTCGTCGGCATCGTGTCTCTCCCGGTGTCTCTCCCGGGAAGCGCGAGGCCGAGTCGTGCGATGATGGAGGACTTTGATGAGATCTACGAAGAGGAGGAGGAGGAAGAGGAGGACGAGGACAGGGCCGCGGAGGAGCAGCTCCTCAAGTACGCTCCGGACCCGGTGGTGGTGCGAGGGTCCGGCCACGTCACTGTGTAAGCAACCGGCGACGCTTACGGGCACCGAGAAAGGAGTTTACCGTTACCTTGAAAAGATTAGCAGCCGCGGTCTCCGTGAATAGCGAAGTTAGCTAACACTGGTGACCTAGCATAGCCAGTTAGCTAGCTTCTAAGTTAGCAGGGAGCTAACGTTAACTCTGCGTGCAGACGAGGAGTGGCTAAGATTTAGCTTTCGTTTTAGAGTCCATGGCGTAATGAATGTGTGTTTATTGTTTGCCACGTAGTGTGACGTGTTGTTGCGTTACAAGTCAAGACAGTTTGTCCCCGTTATTGGTTCCACTATTTCAGGGAACACAGGATCAGACTCGTTATCTGATTTGTACTGAAGTGGGTCTAAAAGGTTAAATGTAGCTAAATCGTGCATATAGATTGGAATGAATAACCCTCAGTAGTCTAAATAACATCTCAAACTATGCCCAGCCAAATATTAACTTAAAGTTGTTGTAGCAGTAGGAACTGAAGCTACTGGATGTTGTCTGTAGGTAGGAGCACTGAGAGTGTTAGCTGCGGGCTAGCAGCAGTGTGTTACTGTAGTTTGGGGTTCAAACTACTGATATAATTCACTCAAATTAGCTGTGTTTTCATATTGTTTCCCCTTAAGGCTCTTTCTCACACAGTCTTGATAGTGCATTGGATGTCAGCATTTTGTCTTGTTGGCCGTCTTGGCCACATATGTGGTTCTGTAATGCAGCCCAGAGTGAACAGTGAAATCTATCAAGTCATGTGCAGTGTAGAGGGGCTGCTTCTGTAGAATACACTTTGTTTGATTTAGGACTAAGGCACATGCAAGTAGTTGGGGTTTTGGGTGTATATTGTAACTATGTATCATCTTAATATCCCTTAAACATTTTATATGAATTTCTGTTTTGATATTATAAAAATGTGTGTGTTGAGAAGCTTCCTCAAAAATTAGATGATGCATCTCAGGACGTTTATGCTGATGCAAATTACCATTAGAAAAGTAATAATTTACCGTTGATACCTGCTGGCCTTAGCAGGTTTACCTTTGGCTACGTGGAGTAAAATAGCTCTCCACAGGAGGCCTGAAATGTAAAATTGAGTAGCACACATGATAGACAAGACTTGATGCCACTTGGCAAACATTTCTTTATTCAAGCCAGTCAGCCAAATGGGTTGTATTTCTGCTTATGTATAACGTTTTACTTTTTTCCCTGCCCCCCACAGGTTTGGGCTTAGTAACAAATTCGAGTCAGAATTTCCTTCTGCACTTACGGGAAAGGTGAGAGTCTTGTCATTATTTATTAGTCAATTTTAACTCACACCACAAGATGTACAATATATTCTAGCCAACAGTGAAAATATGATACTTAATTTGATACATTTTTATATTACAATTGCTTAATATTCTGCAGCGCAGAACATATGATGAACATATGAAATTTTTGTGGCACAGGTAAAATAGTTTTGAACTCTACATAAAGCATTCCAATAGGGCTGAAACGATTAATAAAATGCATCGACGCAAATTCTTTCCATCGATGCTTCATTTAATCCATATAACTATAAAGCACACTGTTTCGCACAGACATTTATTACTGTCGCACATCGCGCTTACGCTGTGAACACGACACGATTATAATGGAGCTGTTTGCAAAGTGGAGGAAGAGAGAGAAAATAGTGAGGGACAAAAAAGAAAGTGTCCAAAGCATGGGATTATTGCAAGCTAAAGAAAATGACAACTCTGTAATGTTACCTTCCGTCCACCGTAAAATGAAATTTAGGTCGCCTCGGCAACAGCACAATGGCATCTGATCAGAAAGCAGCCGGTGTTCTGTCAGAAGACATTTTAGCATTTAACTGAAATCATGATTGATTGTTGAGTTGAAGGCTAGCCAAACTAAGCCGCAGTCCTCAGCTGAAAATGTACACACGTGCGTTTGTTGTTCTCCGTTTTGGGCCATGAGTTGTAACTTCACAGTCATGAGTTAACTGGGTGTCGGGACGCTGCACCTTTTAACTCACCTCCAGCTCTCTGTAGCTCAGACAATCCCTGCTACCTGCGTGTGCTAATCCATCCTTTCACCCATATTCTTTGTCTTTATAATTGCCATCTTTATATTAACAAACAGCTGTTTCGTGTTCAGGATCGCTCATTTCATGTTTCACATGTGTTTTCTTGACAAAACGTGGTTTGGAGACCAGCGTCGGGTGACACACCGATCAGTCACTTAGTGTGAACGCCACAACAACTTCAAGACTTAACTATATTGACTGTACCATGTATGTGCTCTTCACCAGGTAGCACCAGAGGAATTCAAAGCCAGTATCAACCGTGTGAACAGCTGCCTGAGGAAGACGCTGCCAGTGAATGTGCGGTGGCTGCTGTGTGGCTGTCTCTGCTGCTGTTGCACACTGGGCTTCAGTTTGTGGCCTGTTATCTGCCTCAGCAAGAGGGTGAGAGACCCATCTATGTTGCATTTGCACCAGTATCATAGTAATTCCAAATCAATAATGGAAAGAATATCATCAAATGTCACTGTTGCCTTCCAGACAAGAAGATCTATAGAGAAACTTCTGGAGTGGGAGAACAGCAGACTTTACCACAAGGTGAGTAGTGAATGAATTAATGGATATATGTGTGTATTAATATTGTACCTTGTTAGGGTATGTTCTAAAAAAAATCTGTGATCACTATTGCACTCTGTTTGCAGTTGTGTTTGCATTGGAGACTAAGCAAAAGGAAGTGTGAAACCAACAACATGATGGAATATGTAAGTATCTGTTGTGGTTAGTTGGCTGGGTGCAATGGTTCCAAATGAAAACATATGTATCAGGTGTTATTACCACAAACAGCAGTGTGTAAAAAGGATTCCGAGCATTGCATTGGGTTGAGCTTGTATCAGGTATTGGAGAGATGATAATACATAATATAGGGAGGCTGGATTAAGTAGTTGATAGATGAGTTTGAAGGCCAGAACAACTGCACAACACTTTATAATGCTATGAGGAAAGATTTAACAACCGGAAATACATGGCATCATCATGGCTGCATCATTTTATCCTCCATTGCACAAACTGCAAGGTTAACAGTAGAATGACAATGGTCGTGTTACATAGTAATCTAGAATGAAATGTGCACTGTAATGTGTTTTATTGTTCAATGCTGTGCACTAGGGCTGTGCAAAAACACATCAGTGTGCTTGGTCACATTGATTTGCAACACCACCTGCAATTGCTCAAAATGATGAGATAGTAAAGTGATAGGTTCTTTGGTAGTAGCAACAATGTGGCAAAATCTTGATCGTCTCTCAGTAACTGCTTTTTCTCTTATACGCTCCAGGTAATCCTAATAGAGTTCTTACCTAAGATCCCCATCTTCAGACCGGACTAGCCCGACTGCAGGTGATCTTAAACCTCCAAAGCTGTACCACCACAATGGCTGTCAAACTCCTGAATAAGTACCTCTCCCAAAATACTCCCAATATTTTTGTTTACAGGGTAACATTGATCCACCACCATTCTCCCGCACATACCTTGTCTTACACCCTTGTTTACAAATCCAGCATCCCAAAACTTGTTTTTGGAGTGAATTCACTATTGAACCACGGTCTATCGGGCGAGCTGGCACACTGTCAGGCCATGCTAACCGGCACCAGCCTGTGGGATGTCAGGGGAGAACCAGCCATGGGCAGCGTTATGGATTGAAACTTGGAGCTGGAGACTAGACTCTTAAATTGAGTTCTGTAAGCTACAACTGGAACTGTGTCACTTGTATGTTCCCTAACCTAAGCACATGGCACGGTCAGACCATGATAGAGCAAACACTTTTACATGTTCCTTAACTGTCTCACCACCAACTTCACCTGCAAAAAATACACTCTAGTGCTTTTGTACCAGATGGATTGGAGCTCTGGATAATTACTAGAAGCTGTAGAGGCAACATCACGTGGAATTTCAGAGGAGCCTTCATCCAAATCAGCTCTGCAGCAGACAGACTTACAGGAACATGTTGAGCCAGTGGCCAGAACAGCGGAACTCCGTAATGTCACTCTACTTATCAGCTACCAGACATTCTTATCCTCTCGTCTCCTTTCATATCTCTGCACACTTCACAGTGCATCACATAACCCAGTGACAATCACACTCACTCTTGACTGTCCTCCATGTAGTATGATTGGGTCTTTATGCTACACAGTTGATCTGGAACAATTTGTTTTCAGCATTATGTGCACCCAGGTGATGGGCTGCCTACCAACTACTCTGAGTCGCAGTAGAACAAGTAAGAAGGTCACCTTTTTCTTTTCTTTTTCTTTTTTTTTTAACTGTTTTGGTAAAGGAGAGGCAGTCAATGCTCACAAAACTGTTTGGTGTGTGACAGAGAAACATAAGCAAAAAAGAGACAAATCAGACATTAAGGGATTCTCTTACTCTGTAAAGCAGGGTTCTTCATTCACGTTTTTTTTTTTTTTGTTGTTGTTGTTGCCATAACCGTTCTTTGTTATTTTTACTGTAGTAATTTATAAATGCCTGATTGCGCATATAATATGTGCATTTGTGAAATAGGCCTCGTGTATATTTTTTTTCTTACAAAGGTTCTTTCCTTTTTGTCTTTATGGTCATGTGTCAACACTGAAGCACACAATCGCTTTGTCCTTAACAACTTCACATGGCCTCTCTTCCTTATCTGCTGACCCTGGCTTACTTATACAAGGGCTCAAGTTAAATTGTGGTTCTTGAGCAAGTTCCTCTGTTTTAGTTATAGTCTGACTCATTACATCCAGAAGTCTTGGGTGACCATGAGTGTTCGGTCCTCTTTGTTAGGTGTTAGATAATAACAGCGTTCTGTATCATGAAGCAGGATTACTAGTAATAGCACACTATTTGCAAATCAAGAATATGGACTTAAAGCTGGGGGGGGGGCATATATTTAATTTGAAAATATTAAGAATACATTACATTATTTATAGTAGGTTATTTCTTATTTCACCATTTTAATACTACACTTTATATTAGTTTTAACAAAAACCCTTAATCAGATTTCTGCTCCCTTTCTGTTTCTCTCTCCCTGTATGTGTCCGCTCTGTCAACTTCCCTCGTCAGCAGTATGTAAAGTCGGCCAAAAAATTAAGCTTGCAAATCAGATTTCACAGCAGCAGGTGAGCTACGTATGGTGGCGGGTTTTTGTTAATGACGTAGCCTACCAAAACCAACATGGTACCGGGTGACATCGGCACCTACCAGGTGTTCATGATTGCTTAACCTGGTCCATGCTTGTAAAATATCCACAATGTCCGCGTCTTCAAAAAGAATACCAGAGAACATCGCTTTCTCTTTGTGCGCTTCTCTGCAGAGCATGTGCAATTTCAGGTAGACCACACAGAAAGGGTGGAGCAAGAGGAGATTGTCCACTAGTTAATCAATCGCAGATGGCATTTTTCGCTCGGATGGATTAAAAAAAATGGAAAATATACCTAGGCAGCCCACCCAAGTAAAGTCTGTGTGGGAAACACTGATGTAAAATTATGATAAACATACTGAGAATTATAACCGTTACTTCTCCACTCTACAAAGTGTTTTAGCATCTTTCAGCTCAAATGTTTTGGTTTTTGCTGGCCTTCAGCTTCCAGCATCAGCAGGCATCAGCTTTCAGAGAAAAGGTGCTGACAAAACCCACTGTACACTACCTACCCAGTGCCAAACAGCAGACAGAGGAAAAAGTTAGCAACTAGCAGATGAACATAGTGGCGCATTTTGTAGCTCGAGTCAGATATTTCCCTCAAGAGTTAAAGGAGCAAAAAGGACAGTGAATAGTGGACTTGCATGCACCAGGTGGCCAGAAAAACTACTCCAAATGAATAATAATGTTGGTATGTGTATACTGGATTTGTATATAAGCAACTCGTTGCTAACACATTTGTGATATAAGCATAATAACATAGTTAATCAGGTTTAAGTAAAAGGTCATGTCCCAGGCTTAATTTAGATCAGCTATCTAGCTAACTAACAATCCTGCTCTGTGATAAAGGGCTAAGAGTTATTTTTTTAAATTGTCAACATACAACATAAAATCATTTGACAGCAAATAGGAGAAAAGACAGAACAGAAAAACAAAGCCATTTTGAATATAGTATAGATTTAGTTTTTCCTACTCAGCACACCTCTTCATTTTTAAAACCATCCAGATACTGAGATTGAAAGTCAACAAAGTCAGTTCGTTTTAGGTTGCTCAGTTCTGGTGATTGTATGGGTCATACTCAGGGGATTATACTAGATAAACAACAAAATGTTGCATTGAAAAATCTCACAGTCAGGTTTGTTCCAAAGTTACACCAGGGGGTCAAGTATACCATGCACATCACACATTACTTGAATAATTAAAAAAATATATATAGAAGTTTGTTTGGAAATTGAAACATACCCTAAAGACAATTTACCCTTCTGTGGTCTTCCTGTTCAGATAATAAAGGAGGCACATATTCTATGGACCCACATAGCCCAGACATTGTGTTGGTTTATATGTTAAAAGACTCAAATTCACTTGATTACCACTGGGTTTCCTGTTGGTTTATCTGTCACTTTTCTATATTTTTGATTGATTGTGGTCTGTTCTATGTAAATCAAGGCATAAGGCCATATGCAGATGTGTGTGTGTGTGTATGTGTGTGTGTACATGATGTATGCAGAGGCAAATGGTCTTCATAGATCTCAGACTGTGATTGAACCCTGCACAGAAAATGAGTAATTTTTTAATATAATCTGGAGTGTTTGTGTCAGTCTGTGTGTATGAGGGGGAGGAAGATATATGTACATACGACTCGAGCAGGTGTGTGTACAGTAATAAACTACCAATAAATAAAGCTATGGGCATCCTCCTCTGTAAGTATGTGGGATTTGTAATGGTAATAACGTGAGTTTACCTGCCTGTTGGCATAAAGTGTCTCTGAACATTATTGGTCATGAGTTCACAGGATATATAGAAGTCATCGCTGGGTTGGCCGGTGGGCAGTTCTCATAATTAAGAGTATAGTGCTATATATATATATATATATATATATATGGTGGAGATGTGGAAGGACCAACAGGGGGGCCAGGTTCTTCGGTTAAAACACAACAGTCTACCTATGTTGAAAGAACAAGGGATGCTTGTTCAAAAATGTACACATTTTGGACAGTGATGTTAATGTTCAAGAGGGATCACATGAATTTGAAGACTAATGTGACTGAACATGCAACCTCAACAATAATAGACATGTAAGCAGAACTGATGAAGCAAAAGAAAGATACCAGTCTATTAGCCATGCTAGCAACTCTGTGAGGCTGTGAGACTGTGCTTTGAATTGAAAATAAACCAGTATTTAAGTATTTAACAAGTAAAACCTGGATGAAAAGTCAAAGGATCAACAAAAGGATTCATTCTCTGGGGAACATGTGTGCGTGTAGGCCTACAAAATGTCATGACAATTCATCTCATAGTTGAGGCATTTAAGTGTGGACCAAATTGGTTGACCCTCTGTTCGACATTGCTATCCCCAGAGCAATGCTGCTAGCATGGCAAAAAAATCTAACCTAGTTGTTGTTGACATACTTGATTATGCTTGAATTTTCTCTTAGACTTTACTTCTGGGCGTCTGAGGGGACAAAGTAGGAACCTCCGGGTCTGAAAAGTGTAGCAAATGCGGAAGTGCCTTAAACCTGCATTCTGTGTAATGGACAGCAGGGGGCGACTTCTGGTTGCAAAAAGAAGTCAGATTGTACAGAAGTCTGACAAAATGACCCCACACTTTTTGAATGAGTGTGGGATCGAATGAAAGACAGGTTTCAAGTCTTTGTCAATATGCCATGATGTTCTTTTTTTAAAATTATGGTCCCATTGAGAGTAAAACTGAAATAAAGCAGGGTATGCTCATAGACTGGATAAGGCATGGCCATCTTGTAATAGAGAAGTCGCTCCCACAGCGACCTGTTAATCAGGATAGTTGTGAACCCAACCACTGCACTGTGTACATTTAACTAGCTGTAGACTTGTTTTGGGTGCTGTTGGTGTTTTCTTTGACTAACTGTTTTTTCTGATAAGTATTTTGTTTTAAGCCTGATTTTTGCAAGCCAAAATTAACATCCCAATTAATATAACAGTTAATGTGAATAATGGATTCATGGTGCTAACCAAGCTAGCAAGTTAGCGCTAACTGATAACTTAGTATGACTGATGACATGTATATTTACAAGCAAACAGAGTTTGGAGGGAACCAAATTCATGGCTACGTCACCTTACTTCATTGTTTTATAGAGTCTATAGTCACCCCTCACTCTCAAATCAAGATGCCAAAATGCCACAGTCGAGGTTTCAAAAGGATAGTCCAAAACCCAAAGGGTAATGTCGCGGTGACTACGTCCACTTCTTTTATGTAGTCTATGGAGAGGACACAATGGGGCCTGAAAGGACAGTTAAAAAGGTTATATTAATTTTAAAAGGAAAGCATGCATTTTCAACTGGGGTTGTGGCATTTGAAAGATGTGGGCATACAGGTGTGCATGGTATAATGAAAGATAAAGTTGCAACATTGAAGTCAAGGGATTAAGGTCAGGAAATCTCAGCCCCTGCTCTTCTTTGACACATGACACATGGTCTGTGCCGTTAGTCCTTCTTTTAAGTGCGTCAGAGACCTATTTGGGGCGATTTTCTAGTCCACCCACTCTGTTGCCAACTCCTCAGTCATGTTTCTAAAGTCTGATATCTGTCCATAAAAACGTGGCACATCTATAATCTCTGTGTCATGAGGCACTGGTGTGACTTCTTTTAAAAGAATTCATAGAACAGGTTGTGGATAGCATGAATTCACATTCTTTCATACAATACACATTCTTGTAGATCTAACATGGTTCTGCGGAGTTGCCACATTTACAACACTGCTGCAGCTATTAAATTATCAAGGTACAAAACACTGTAGGTATATTCAACCGCCATAATGCTGCATTACAGTCCAGATGCTCATCCCACATGAAATGAGTCCATAGTTGTTTACACGTGTTGTAATCCGGGTTTAATGGTAGGTAAAGTGAAAGGTTTATTTGCTTTTAGTCAGATAGAAGAACAACAGACATCCGTCATATTAATTTTGTATCATCGTTTTTATTGGTAGACTTGTCTAACAGATATGCCCTCTTCATTACGTAAGCATGGCATGACATTTTTAACAATGTTCAATTTCTTTTCATCTGAACTAAATAATCTGCCAGACAAAATGAGCACATCATACATCCAATTCATTTAGTTTCTTATTTATTCACACAGTTTCTGTGCATTAGTTCTTTGAAAGTACGTCAGAGACCATTTTAAGAAAGTTTTCTGCCCCACCTACACTCTTGGTAATCTCTTCAGTTGCGTTTGTTAAATCGGACATCTGTCCATTGACAAAATAACGTGGCACATCTATAATCTCTGTTTCTTGAGGCTCAGGGCAAACACCTGTAAGACAGAGAAAGTGTGACTTCATTTAAATTCAACTTCATAGAACTGGTTGTGGATAGCATGAATTAGTGAATGCACATTCCTGTAGATCTAACATGATTGCGCTTAGATACCACATTTATGACAATGCTGCAGCTATTATATTATCTAAGGTAAAAAACATTCATACCTTCATCTTGTGCCAGGCTAAAAGGCTGTGCAAAGTTAAGACATTCGGCCTGCTTCTTAAACTCTTCCAGCTCAGCAGCAGTCACAGTCTGTCTCTTGCCTGAAAGACAAATTTTTTTTAATGATTTGTGTATAAACAGTTATGAATGAATGTTTAAATGATACTAAAGCAGCACTTGTCCTGTAAATAATTTGCTCACTCCCCGAGATGAAACTTCTTTAAGTCTTTAAGTTAATGTCTCCTTTTTAACTGTATTATTGTTTGTTTATTTTTGTCATTTGTGTCACATGTCAAAGAGTAACATAGATAAACATTTGAATTAGTATTGTTATCTTACTGAGTAACTGAAGAACTTTGAGGTTCCTTCCTGTCATTTGGTAATAAAATTGGAGCAGAAGACAGTCAGAACAGCCAGTTTTGAGTAGGTTCACTGTTGGTGAAATATTGATAGTCCCTGGGGAGAACACACACATACACAAGTGCTGTTGCAATACTAGACACAAAGTTCAAATGTGTTTGTGCAGGTATGTCAGACAAAATATTTGCGCAGCATGTATCATTGATAAATTAGCCTGCTCTCTTGGTTGACAGATAAAGGAGAAACCAGTTTCATGTAGTGGCTCCTCGGCTGTAAAACAAGCCGACAATACTGGTGGTTTTATGCACACTGCAGTCAAATTGCTGAGAGTGAGGATGGTATTTCTTGTGTTTTGTTTTGTTTTTTAAATGGGTTGTCATTATTGTTGCACCTTGAGGTAATAGGATAAAGAGGCCTACTAGTTAACAGTTTTAAAAAAGTAAAAAGAGTAATTTTGAAGTTATTTCAGTAAGAACTCTTTGCAAAGAAGAAAAAGTGCTGCTGCTGGTTACAAAGTTAAGATCTATTTGTGCAGGTCAAAATATTTGCACAGCAGATTGCATAAATGATAATAAATTAGCCTACTCACGTGGCTGGAGAGTGCTGTTTCCCAAGGTCATCTTAACTGTGTTTGTGACACAATAGCCGAACCTTTCACAGGTAGAAACATATACGTGCAGTTACAAACTGATATTTTTTTTAAACGAATAAAAATTAAAACCTGAATGATGGTGGTTTGGAATATTAGACTTTTGTCAATTTTGAGACAAAATTTGAAATTACGCTTTTACTGTGCCCATGAGAGCAACAGCATCACTCTCAGTAGCAGCAGTGATTTTCAGAGAGTGGCTTTCCCGAAAAGTCTTCAACACCACTCCAGTATTGTGGTCTTCTGTGCTTTCTGCTACGTGCATCCACTTGCCCAGCAACTGAAACAGAAATTGTCTCCCTCAGTTGCACAAGATGACAAATGGATTCATTAAAATATTTTTTGGTTTTAAAAACATGATGAAAATGATAGCTCGAAGCTTGACTGACAAAGGAAAGTGAGATTGTGAGAGACAGGTAACGAGTGCAATGAGACAGTGTCTCTTACCTGCTCTCTTCCCTGGATTTCAAGAGGTTGGATTAGACTCTCACAGCTGCTCACAGGAGCTGACTGTCCAACAGACAGAAGACTGAGCACAGCCACAGCAACACGAATAAAGCCTGTCATGGCTCACCTGCTGATTGTGTCTGCTTCAGGATTAAAACTGGTGCGAGCTAAAAACTGGTGCATTAAAGTCCAGAGGCTCATCCCACATGAACTGAGTCCTTACTGTTTACACGTATGTTGTAATCTGGGTTTAAAGGTAGATAAAATGAAAGGTTTATTGGCTTTTATTCAGAAAATGTAATTAGGCCACCAATATCAGAAAAAGTGACATTTATGTTCACTAAATTAGTGTAAGTTTGAGTCCAACTTTTTTCAAGAACATGTATTGAAATATTGTAACAGCACTCAGTAAGCCTGAGTCTCAGATGGCGCTGACTATCAGTCATGGAGTCAAATCTTATAACAGGTTCATTTTACCATATTTTATTAGTGTCTGCCGAATTAAGATTTGTCAGTGGAGAAGTTCAGCAAGATCTAAATACTTGCACAGATTAGAGGCTGGTGATGCATTATGCAAATTATAAAGAGAGATTTTCCAGTAACTGTGTGTGAGTGCGATTTCCTTTACAATAAAAATTCAAACGATCTGAATATTTGACATGTCGATAACAAAACACTTTATTTAGAACAAATAGTAAAAGACAGAAGACATACTCATATTAATTTAGTGTTTTTATTGACAGAATTTCCTTTTGTCAGACATGGCCTCTTCTTATTTAAGCATGGCATGACATTTTTAACAATGTTAATTTTCTTTTAATCCACCTATGGCACTGGAGATCATTTCAGTAAGTCTCTTCAGTCCACCTTCACTGTTGATCATTTTGGCAAATAGGTTGATAACTTTAGAAGCCATGTCATCCGAGAAACTGGTCAGATCAATGGTCGTTGTTTCTTGGGAGGAAGACCCATCTGGGCAGAAACCTGTGAGGTGATTTTCATTTATTACAGGAGAGAGAACATTTCATTAACCATGAACTAAATAAAGGCAGAGACTAAGAATCACATTCACCTTAGAGGTTTAACTTTTTAGGTGATGTGTTGTAAAACCTGCTTGTGTAAAATGAATGTTATCTAATATAAACCTTACTTCAGTTATAATTTGTTTCCCTGTTTGTTTTAGTCAATTTGACAAAATGCATTTTACTACTGGCTGTTTTGTATTCTGTTTGTGCTTAGCCCCACCACAAGTAAGATATCGCTTGGTTATGTTGCAACCTTGGTTCTCTGAGTGAAGAGACCATCTCTCCACCATTACATATTCCATATGTACGGGAGATGATCACCCGAGGTCACACCAACCAAAGGGCTGCCAGGGGTAGTCCGCAGGGAATGTCTGGAGGCCACTCAGGTAAGCCCGCAAGACGCTAAGCTGACCATGGAGACAACAAACCAGTGAACCACACAGCCCTCGAGGCTTCAGTCATTCATTGACAAGACACACCCAGCACTCGATCACCAAGGGAGGGGCTGGCTGCCACATTCAGACGGTAGAACCTTGTGAACATGGGCCGAGATGACTACATGGCTGCTGCGCATATAGCTGCAAGGGAGGCTATATGCGCAGCAACGCTATGGGTTGAGTGTGCCCATACCCCGGCCGGACAGGCACACCCGAAAACAAATACGCTTGCTCAATAACATCCACAACCCAGTGGGACAGCCTTGATTTTGACAAAGGCCTGCCTAGGTGATTCGACTCAAAGCAAATGAAGAGCTGGTCAGTCTTCCTAATTGTGCATCTGATGTATCCTGCTAGTGGGCACAGTGTGGACTGGGTTGGCTCAGCCACCTGTCCTTCCACAGGGGAGAAGAGCGACCGTAGCTCGACTGGCTGGGTCAGATGGAATTCAGACAATATCTTAGGCAGGAAAGCCAGATTGGGGCAAAGGATTACACCCAACCCATCTGTTAAGAACCTGCAGCATTGTTTGATATCTGATATTTGATCTATTTTTTTATTTGGAACATAGAGAAAAAAAGAGAGACAAAAAAGTTCTACTGCTTTAAGAAACATTGATATTGTATTTCTTTCTATAAGATTATTATATCTCTTTTCAAATATCTGTGGAACAGAGATTTTTCTAGCAAAGTCTGGTCCAATACTTGCAAAATATTTATTAAAGTTATTAACCACTTCCTCAATGTTGTTGCTATTCTTTTCATTATAAGTATATACTGGGGATAATTAGCCCGTCTAGAGGGCCAAATCTAATAATACTGTTAATATTCACACGTTCTCATAATATTAATTAACTGATTTATATATTTATTTTCTGCTTCTATAGTTCTATGTTTAATAAATTCTCCATAAAGTGTATTTTTGTTTTTACAGGCGCTATATTTTTGTTTCCTGCAATATATTTACTGTAAACCAACATGTAGCTTACCTACCTTTCTGGCGGAGGTTATAGCTAACTACTTCTCTGTTTATTTTCTTTTTGTTAATAAATTCTTCAAAGACAACGGTTGGTTGTAACTCAATTCTTTGCTCAATCCCTCACCAGGAATATAATTTCCACGACAGAAAACAGTTTTAAGGGAGAGCCACTTAAGATCAGCAGACCCAAGGGGCTCAAAGGGCGATTGCCAAAGTGCCCCAGTGATCATGACGGTCATATATATTGATCCACAGTGTTACAGCTGCCGTTTTGGCCGCTAGTAAAAGTTACTACAAAGCACGGAGCACTTCCTGTCGGCTCGGAGTCATTGCGAGGCTACCCAGCCGACCAATCACAGTGCTTACGGTCCACGTCAACTTGACGTATAGTTAAATTTTTGAGGATGTGCATGTCAGGCGACGGTAGCCTCTGCGTAGCCCCGTAACCTACGCTGTCGATTCAATGCAGAAGTATAAATTACACTTGAAGGTCTGGTCTTACGAACTGCCAGCCTCTGAGAGCCTCATAGAGCCTCTGAAAAACCAGGAAATAAGGGATGCCCATTCAGTGTTGAAGCACCAACACGAACTGCATTAATTGCCACCATCATCTCTCCGGCAAGCCTAGATCCGGGAGGCCGTCCCTTTCAGGGGCCAGGCTACCAGCCTGAGTCCCGCTGAGAAGGGGTGTCGCCTGCCTGGGACAGCAGGTCCCTCCTGAGGGAGCTCTCACGGCATCCAGTGCAAGAGGAGCGGGATTGCTGAGAACTATGTCATGTTTGGCCAAAGAGCCTCCATTCCCCTGGCTAGGGTTCAATGAGTCCTGGCACATGCACCGCTCTGAGTGAGCAGAAGCGGGGGGTGCCTAAAGCCACAACTTGGTTGCCAGTTTGCAGAGGACAGGGGAGCCCAGCCCCCCTTGCCTGTTGGTGTAGGCCGCTGCCTCAGTGCTGTCCGTCTTGACAATGACGTGATGACCTCTCAGTCTGGGCAGAAACTGGAAAAGTGCCAGCTGCACGACTCCAAGACGTTGACATGCTGAGTCACCCAGAGGCTGTTCCAACTGTCACTGACCCTGCAGCCATCATGGACAGTGGCCCACCCTGCCTGGGACGCATCTGTGAAGACTAGTCGGCAACAATCCACTGGTCCCAGTGCACTTCCTTTTGCTACATTGGTTGAGTCCTTGCTAGGGCAGGTGGCCTTGCCAAGCTGGAGGGAGAGACCAGAGAAGAGAGGGTTTGATCCATTGGAAGGCAACCTGCTCCCTGCCTTGCACGTTCAATAACCTCCTGCAGGATCTAGATGACTTGTGTGTGGTTGACAGTGAGTGGAACTGTTTACACAAGAGATCCTCAAAGTCAGGCAGAAGAGGGACCTGCACCGGTGTGGAGCGCACTCTCATCGAACCGAGAGGGGGTTGCCATCAGGGTTTCAGGAGGGGCCTTTCCCAGAGCTGCAACCGTCCTGCTGAGAAGCTGGTCGAAGCTATTAACCGTCTAGTCACCACCAACGTGCACTGCTATGTTCTGCCCGCTGAACAAGTTACTGTCCTCAGAGAAGAGCACATCCACATCCTCCTCCTCCAACACAGAAATGGGTGAGGAGGGGGGTTCACAAAATAGGTCTGCTGAAGGCTCAAGAACAGAGAGAGGAAGGGAAATGTGCCAGGATCCTAAACACTCCACTCCGTCTATTCTAGTTTCAGCCTCTTCTTCTCTGTCTTCACGCACGCCATAGCTCAGGTTGAGATCGGTGATGTCACGCCGAAGCAGGTGCTTTATAGGTAAACTGGGTGGCGTGGCAGGGCAAGCCGGTGTGTCTTAATGAGGTTTTCATGTACCTGACCTTGGGGAATCATCCCCTGGACATATGGAATATGTAACAGTGGAGAGATAGTCGCGATACAATAGAGAACGCTGGCGCTGCTGTACAAATGAAGGCACTGTTTCTTTTGATGATTAAAGGTGTAGGTACATTCTGTATTCACATAATGTGTTAAAAGCATAAGGCATTAAACATTTCATTATGAAAAGATCCAAAGCAAGCAACATCAGGGAATATGGGTTTCAAAGCCTTGCAGCCAGATTACATGTGTGAAAGTTCATACCTTTTTCTGGCTCCAGAAGAGTAGGTGGTGTTAAGTTCAGACACTCTACCTGCTTGGTAAACTCTTCCAGCTCAGCAGCAGTCACTTTATTTCTCATGCCTGGGAGACAGAACAAGTTTATGCAAAGGAGCTTAGTTCATTTAGCTAAAAGCACCGCTGTCGCTACAGTGTTACAGAGCCGCCCGCATGGCTGTATGCAGTGCAGTATGATGATTCATATTCATACAGTCCATTGTGAGGCAGTATTCAGGTCCTTCATTTAAAATACTATTACTAGTAAAGATTCCTTTAATCAATATCCTACTCAAGTAAAACTACAGAAGCATTATCAGTGAAAGTAGCCCTACGTAAAGAATCAAAAGTGAAAAATGGCCTTCAATGTAATAATATATGTATATATATATATATATATATTAACTCATAGTTGTCAAGTGGTTCTCAACCTAGGGGTCGAGCCCCTTTAAAGGGTTATAAAAAAAAAAATAAACCTGAGGAGTCATGAGATGCTTAATTGAGTTGCAAAGAAAGACTAAGTTCAGCAGTAAACTGTATTTAACTTGAGTAACTTGTAAACTTGTTACTTTCCACCACTGCCAACCCT